CGACATCTCACAAAATAACCTTAGCATGTACGTTACTGTGTCAAATGGAAATGAAAAAGCACTTGGAGACCACTATCTCTTTAAAGGGTAGTATGATTGTTTGAATGAGTACAAATACTTTAAATTTCATTTAAAGGTGTCACAAAGCCAGTTTCTTAAATGCATTGTAAATTACACATTGATAATGTAAACTTAGTTCCTCGCGACTTAACATATTTATATAATCTATTCAGCTTTGGCAGTAGTTCTCTTTTAATTATAGTTCTTACGGAGCGACGCATTTTTTAATGACGGATTTTTGTTAGGTTTATGTCTGACATGACGCCTGTTTTACATTCTTGAGTTTTAGTTATTTTTAAAGTCTTTGTGTTAGATTTTTTTTTTTTTACTCATTTTGTTTTCAAGGCTTTTTGATGCATATGATGAGAGGGAGGCTAAAGGGATGCTGGCAGGATGCACTGTTTTCTGAGCAGTCCCTCTTTCACAGAAGACGTCTTGGACTGTCACATTATAAAATTCACTGTCACCATGTCACTGATTTCTGAGACACTTGCATTAACCGTAAATGAGCAACACAACATATTTGTTTTATTTACCAGGTCAAATATCTGCTTTGAAAAAGGACTTTATCTGTCCTGCTCCATGTTTAAGGGAGCCTCTGTTCCCTGTGCTTCCGCGTGTTAATGTTGTTTTTTAAAAGCTGACACGTTATTGACTTTTATATTCATATTTAAGTCTAACTTAAATATTTCCCTTTGCACTTAAAAGCACCAAGTCTTTAAATAACCATTAACAAAGTGTATTTTGTGAACATTCAACAGCGTAAGCTCCCAGGAGGTGTTGCTGGTGGAACAGGGGCTAGTTTCTCTACCACTCATTTCTGTAAATCCATGCAATCTTTAATCTACAGATCTTGGTCCTTATTTTAATGTTAAAGTGGACCTATCATGCTATTTGAATAATATAGTGTAGGACCATACCTATATAAGGCATATTTATACTTTTTATTTTTCAAAATACCAAACAGATCATGCATTTTAGCCATTCCTCATTTCGCTCAATTTAAGACTGTCTTTGCATGGGCTGATTCTGTGAGAACAGCACCATCTACAGGCCTGGCATATGTACTACAGCGTCTCCAACGCTTTCCAACGGCAATGTCCGTGGCTGTGTCCTCCTGATTGGTGGAGTTGGCCCAATAGCCGTAGCGCCACTTCTGTGACGTCATAGAAGTGTTCAAATTGGAAGTGTAGTCGGAGTAGGTCAGGTCCCAAGCGTAGGTCCCTTCTACCCTCGATGTCAACTCAACACATTCGACTTCTTCCCCCGGCCTTCAAATTTTATCACTGACATCAGTCTCCTGATTGATTTTGACTGACCTTTGACACAAATAAAAAACAGAAACAATTAAGAAATAAAAATAAACGCTATTTTGTTAGAACAACAACTTCAACACTAAACATGTAATATAACAATTTTGAGTTGTAAAAAGTTAATGTATTATGACGACCTTCATGTTTGTAAATGTTTTTACAGATTAGATTAAAATATAATTTTTGCCCATCATTAATATGCATTTGTAAATGAGTTACAATAGACCTAAGAAGATTTATACGATCTTTGTATTAAAATCTTTACTCGTGTATTACACAAATATGAGCCGTAAGATACAACGAGATCAAGGACTAATTATGTTTATAAGATAAAATTGCTTATTTAAACACTGGCACGTTTTTCATTTCCAGTTAAATTTATCACTTGCACACTTTATCTGATATTTCGGACTATTTAAAAATTTCCTCTATTTAGTAGACAGAAATGAAACATTCGTACAAATCCTTATGTAAATATTTCACATTCGTAGTTTAGTATTTACTTATTAGCTTACTCTTTTTTGAATTGAAAAACAGGCAAAAAAAGATGACTCTAGTCAGTATTAAGCAAAAATTCTATAAAACCATTCCGTGTTTTTTGGAACATCTCGGTTTAGTTCAGGTCGGTATGTTTGGCTAAACACTACGACCAAAAAACCGTTTCTACTTTTGTAATCGTTCTTGTTATAAAGTTTCCTCCACAGAAGATAAAAGCTAATAATGTGTTGAAAACTTGTCAGGTGGTTGTTGTACTCCGCCGGATGGCTTGACCCTTAATATCTTTCGAAATGTCGAAGTGTAACAGAGGTTTTGGAGGCTATCCACTCAATTTCAAACCCTTTAGTATTTAGATTTTACGTGTACTTCGTGTTTTTTCAGGTTTTAACGGGTTTGGTTTCTCGACTAGTGGTCCTAAACCAAATGTCGTGATGTATAATAAATGAAATCCCAAGAAAAACAACAAATAATCATAGAAACTCCGACAGAAGAGGTTTTCGCGCTTCTTGTAAACCCTTATAATTAATTTCCACTCGCCGATAGTACCCGTTTTACAGGAGAGAACATCGCAGAACATATGTACTTATACACAGGGGCCCACAAGGTCCCTTGAGTGGTTTCACAGTCTTTTTGTGTGGGAGGAACATAAAAGGAGGTATCGGTTTTAGAGAATTGTTTCGACCGTTGCCTAGACTATTGTCTNNNNCATTTATTTTTTTATCTCCAGTTTAAATATTGGGATACATGCAGCAAATGGCATATAGTCATTCATTTCCCATGCTATCTCCCAAACATTTCAGCCCAAATGCACTGGGATGAAGGGGGAAAAGGACCACAGTTTTATATAATACAGGAAAAAGTGGGAGGAATTAAAACAATAGGAAAAGAACGATAGAGCAAACAATCATTTAATGACTGAGATTAGGGCACACGGGGTTAAATAAAACAATGCATTTATTTTTAGATACATCCATCAGGAGCATGTGGATGTGGGTTAGATGAGGAAACAGTCCAACATGTCATCTGTCATTGCCATCGATACAAGACACACAGAGAAAAACTTAAGAGACAATGTGGGGTGGGTTTGTTAAATCTTAAAGTATTTAATGTTGAGGAGAAACGTTTAAATTTCAATTTTACAATCCTTTTTTGGTCACATTACCAAAATAGATGGATTTTGTATTATCAGTACGAGAGCAACATTGAATGCAGTATAAACAAACCATTGTGCAGCATATTAAATTATTATGAAGATAATGGTACAACAAACAAAGTTAAGATTGATATGACATAATCACATGCAAATCCATTCATACATTTTTACATACATTACTTTTTTTACTTTTCTCATATTGTTTTTTTTTGTTGTTTTTTTTACATATTTATACCTGTTTATATAAAATCAGATTAGACATTTTGCAAATGTACTATTTTTCAAAGCATGGTCTCTAATGAAAAGGTTTTGAAAATATAAGGTAAAAATCGCATTTCAACAAACAACATAGTTTTTTCCAAATAAAAAGATAAATACACAGATAAAAAATCTAAAAGACAAAATCACAGTCCTACACGTTACCCTCTGTTTGCACTCTGGAGTGCAGACACACCTCAACATTTACAGAAGAGAGATGAGTCTCTATTTAAACTTCCACCTACTTCAGCTCACACAACTCAACTGTGTCACCATCTTTCCTTTATTTAGTTAGCTCCCAGGAGGTGTTGCTGGTGGAACAGGGGCTAGTTTCTCTACCACTAATTTCTGTAGATCCATACAATCTTTGATCTTTGTCCTTATTTTGATGTTAATTAATATTTCCAAAAATGTATTCCGGTTTTGGGAAAGACAGCTCAAAAGAGAACTAATAAACAACAAAATTACCCAAATCAAAATGATCATTGTTAGCTGGATAATGTGTAAATCAAATATTGGGGATCAAGGCTGTGTTGGATTTTTCATCGTTTGTGTTCATGGGATTTTATTTAGAGTTTCTTACCGTAATTATTCATTTAACTTAGAACATGGAAAGAACCCCCAGGAATTTTTTTTATCTTATTAGGAAGACTGATGAAAGAAAATGAATTGAGATACAAATGTTAATAGTACAGAGACATTGTTTGACATGGTTAAGATTTGGGTAACAATTAAAGCAGGACTTTAACATCTGAACATCACAACACTTTTGTCCTATTATTGGAGATATTAGTTTGTCTGCACTGTTGCCAGATTTGTTTTAAAGAGCCAATGCCTTCACATGTTAACAGTGTAATGACTGATTTTGTCAGCATGTAAAGAGTCACCTCAGAGCACCCTGTGCACGTCTGTTTCACTGAGTAGCTTTGAGCTCTTATTTCAATTCTTTGGGAAAAGTTGTAGGAACGTATGTCATGCAAAGTACTTTTTTCTTTCTGACCGACATTTGAACTGAACTGACATTTATATGGACCTCCGAATGAGGACGACACAAAAGGGATAAGGAGGTTTATGGAAGTTGGTTTACCTAAAGACTCTAAAATGTCTAATTTATAGCAATTCCTGTCATTAAGCTGTAAGTTAAATCAATGCACAGAAATTCCTACTTTGTTGTATTTCCTTTTCCCGTGTGATGAACTCTTCCCACCATCTTCAGCAATAAAGCAACACATGGTATGTTGTCTGTAGGTGATGATTTCCCAAACTTTAACTCACCTATCGAGTGTTTTTGAGACAATGTGAAGCCTGTAAAGCTTTCTATAATTCCTATTTTATTCCTGCATGATTGTTGTGGAATGTTCAAAAGTTGTGTAATAAATCAGAAAATAACACACTTTGAAATATTGTCTTGTAATGTTTTCCTTTGCAAAAGAACCAGCATTTCACAAATCGGGTTTATCTGACTGATTTGTCTACAGGTTTTTGTGTTACCAAAATATCTTAAAAACGGAATGACTGATACTCAGTAGAAAAAAACGGACAAAAGTAATAGTTTTTTTTCTCATCGATTTATTCATTTATTTGATTTGAACATACACTTTTTATAAATGATTCCTTAAACATGTTACAAAGTAAAGACAGATGAATTTACCCTTAAAAATTTGATCAGCAAGCTATTTTTCACACGTTCACATTTAAATTGTACCCTTACTTTTGCAGTCACATTAACAAAATAGATATAATTTGTATTATCAGAACTAGAGCAACATAGAATGCAGTATAAACAACATTATGTGTCATTCTAAATTATGTTTTACATATTAGGAAGAATCCAAATACATTCATAAATGTTTACATAATTACACCCGTTAATATAAAATTAGATTAGACATTTTGTAAATGTTGTACTTTTCCAAGCATATTATGTAATGAAAATGTTGAGAAAATATAATGTACAAATCACAACTTCAACAAACAAGATTGTTTTATCCAAATAAAAATAAAAATACAAAGACAAAAAATAAAACCAGTCCCAGTCCTAGTTAGTCCTCTGTAAGTCACTATTTAAACTTCCGCCTACTTCAGCTCACACAACTCAACTGTGTCACCATCTTTCCCTGGAAGCCGAAACCCAGGATGGAGAGGCTGAGTGAAGGTGGTCTGCTCTCTGTGGAGGAGGGTCATGGTTTCAAAGACGCTGGAGTAAGAGAGAGAACCTGCTCTGTGATCCAGGTACACTCCTATTCTGGAGGACTGAGGGCCTGAGACGTGAGTAGGAATATTGCTATAGAATGTATATTTACCACCACTGATACAATCTAATGCCCAAGATTTGTTTTTGAATCCAAATCTACATTGATTAATTTTCCCAGTTCTGTTCTTGTATGCCACTGCTATAAAAGCTCTCCCGCTCCACTCCACCTCCCAGTAACAACGTCCAGTTAGACCCTCTGTACTCAGGACCTGAAAATAATCAACAAATCTGTCTGGATGAGCAGAATATGACTGATCTCCTTTCATTAGTGTGGCTTTCCTGTTCCCGTCACTCAATGACAACCGCCTGTGTGCTGTATTTGGATCCAATGTGATTTGACGAGAATATTTCCTGAATTCAGCTCTGGTTCTGGGCTCTGCTTGGGTCATTAAAACATCCACTCCAGTCACTGCCAGAGAGATGTTTTCCCACTCCTCAGTCACAACACCCTGCAGTTTATCTCTGGTCTTTGACACCGCCGCGGTCACATCCTCAAATAAGCGCAGAGGACAGATATCGATTGCTGGGTAAGTCTTCAGACTCACTCAGACGTGACAGTGAGGGGTAGTTGTTTAGGAAATGCAGGTGGTCCTCGGTGTGAGAGAGCTGCAGCAGCTCAGCGTCTTTCCTCCGCAGCTCAGTGACCTCCTGCTGCAGCTTCTCCTCCAGATCTTGAGCTTGACTCACTTGGGTTTTCTGCTGGGATCTGATCTTCTTCACCTCAGAGCTTCTTTTCTCAATGAGATGAATGAACTCAGTGAAGATCTTCTCACTGTCCCTCACTGCTTCATCAGCAGAGCGATTGATAGCCTCCACCCTCTGTTGAAGCGCCTTGACGTCTTTCTCTCTGTCCTGGGCTCTCTGTTGGACTTTCTCCCGGCTCACCCCGAGCTCCTTCTGCCTGTCAGCCCTCTCTGCTGCAGCGGAGACGGTGTCATGGCCTTTGTGGTCATCCATGGAGCAGAGATAACAGATGCACTGCTGATCAGTGCGGCAGAAAATCTTCATCACCTCGTCATGACGAGAGCAGATGTTCTCCTGAAGCTTTGAGGAGGCTGCAACCAACTTGTGTTTCTTTAATGGAGCTACATCAAAGTGAGGTTGGAGGTGTTGCTCACAGAAAGAGGCCATACACATCAGACAGGACTTGAAGGCTTTCAGCTTCACCCCGGAGCAGAAATCACAGACCACATCTCCAGGTTTTGCAATGGAAAGATCAGGTGAAGCATCTTGAAGCCCTACTTTCTTCAGTTCCTCCGTGAACTCTGCAAGCCTGGTACTTTTCACCAGAGCAGGCCTCGGTGTGAAGCTCTGCCTGCACTGTGGGCAGCTATAGGTTTTCTCCTCATTCTCTTTACCCCAGCAGTCTTTAATACAGCGCATGCAATAACTATGTCCACGAGTTACCGGATCCTTTAGAACATCCAGACAGATCGAACAGCTCAGTGTTTCCCGACCCAGACTCACTTGCTGCGCCATTTCTCCTCTACGACAGTGAAATGAGTGAAGTGAATGTCAGTAAGTTTCACTTTCTGTTTCCAGAGAAAAGCTAATTCCCTAGCTTGTTGAATCACTGATCTACAATGTATGGGCTTTTCAGCACTCGTGTCACCACATGGTGCTTACCCCCGTCTTTAAACTGTGAGATCTGTTAAAGGGGGGGAACAACGTCTGAGCTGCCTAGACTTTGAGCAGGAGGAGCCTAGCCAATAAGTACAGTTGTGTGTGTTCGTCGGGGGGGGGGAGAAGTCAGCTCTACCTGAAAATCAATACAAATCATGTGATGTTATGCAGTAACTTCATGTAGCCTAGTAACTTTTCTAACAATATGTAATGAGTATAATGTTACATTTGTATTAAGACGTTACAATATTTTAGTTTTTTTCGGTCCAGTTTTAAAACTGAGATACATGCAGCAAATGGTATCTATAAATGCATTTTTTCTCATGGACATTTTAAGAGAGTTATTCTACATCCATGGAGTTATTTCCCCGTAAAAACATTTCTGCCTCCGGAAGCATGGATGTCTTAATGTCCGGTTGTGTCACATTTATTTTCTTCCGCCACTGCTCGGAACATTATTTCCTAAGAGCTGAAAAATTGCACCATGTCGTGATAACCGTTCATATTTGCACCAGGCTGAAACCTAAAAATATGACGACTATTTTAAATAAGCTTCACATCTCGTATGTTTTATTATTTGTGTTATGTCTTTCGGATGTTTTAAGGCTTTCGGCTGTGATCGCACAAGGTAAGAGACTTGACAGCTGCTTGTTAGCTAAACAGTGCTAGCAAAACACTGCGACCTAACAGTGTTATTTAACATGTGACATGGTTATTATTATACTAAATTGTTAATGTTAAATAACACTCCGAACTCACAGTGTTATATTGATGCATGAAGTTGTTTATCAAAGCTGGTAAAGGTCCAGCTAGTTTGAATGACTTAGTATGCTGCAGGTTAACATGTAAATGTAACTCCAGGTGTATTTAAGGGTTGATTATGATTCACATCATTACACAAAATATGCTAAATTTAATAAATGTACTGGATTAAAAGTACACTTTTTACCCCTTAATTGTAGTGGAGTAGAAGTACAAAGTAGAAACAAATTGAAATACTCAAGTAAAGTAAAAGTACATCAACATTTTACTTTAAAATGACCAGTTACCTGTAAAAGAAAACCTCGGTATCAAAATATAAAAGTAATATAATAACCCAACGTTACTTTTGGATTACCTCAATATCAAATGCAATGCAAATAAATAAAAGCCAAAAATAAAATCAATAAGATGTTTTTTAGTGAGTGTATTATGTAAGACAACAGAGCAATGTGACCTTAGAAAAGAAGAACAATAAAGATATTTAGGATCAAAATTAGTTTATTTATAGGAAAACCTGCCTTTCATTAAGCATATCCAGGCAGTAGCCTATACACCAACAATGAAACACATGAGCACATCCTACAGTTTTAAAAAAGCAGAAATAATATCTGAGAAAACAGAATAACCTCTTTTTAGTTTTTTTTTTTTACTGACATTGTATTCCTGCTAGTAATCCACACTTTTTAGAAATGTAGCAGTAATCTGATGATGTTTATATCTATCTAATGTACTGATTCTGACCTATGTATGACTTTTTTTTCAGAAAATCATGAGTCACTGGAGCTCAGTCTGTCAGAAGATGCAGTATCCGACTTGGAGAACAGCCCTAAGTTTGTGGAGTCAGAAGAACCAGACTCTCTGCCAAAGAGGCAGTTCAAGACAGCTGAGATCGCAGATGCATTGATGGGGACCGAGACCCCCATCGATCGATCTGACATCGAGTCCCTTTTCCCCAAAAATGTGATAGACTTACAGTCAGGCTTCTTCCCGCCTTGTGATGAGGACAGTGCCCAGTGTGGTTCCCCTGAGCTTGCTGCTGCAGGCGAGTCACTGGAGGAGAGGAGCGACGAATCCTCACAGCAGGTAACTGGGAGCACTGTAACTCCAATAGCAGTTGTACATTGCAGTTTGAAGAGTAGGGTGAGCTGAAACAATGGCAACTGTCAATTAATCATGCAAGTAACACACATACCAATTGTTCTCTGGTTGCAGATTTTCCAATGTGAAGATTTTCTGCATTTCTTTACCTTTTTATAATTTGAATATCTTTGAATTCTGTTTTTTGGCTGTTTTCTTAAATATTTTCTGCCTAAGATTGGAACTTATATTTGGTGACATTCTGAAGCATGCTTGGATATACTAGGCTAAGTTCAGTTAAAATGATCAGAGTGAAAAGTGTAGGCATAAGAGCAGTAGTCCAGCAGTTGACTTCTCTTTCAATGTGTACCTCCAGATTATTCTTGACATAGTGCGTGTGGACACAACGCCAACCGAGGAGCAGAACACCACAGAGACCGCCAAGACATACAAGGTGACCTGCGATAAGAGGAACACCACAGGAATGGACAACTTCACTGTGCAGGTCCTCAACGCTTCACAGGTATGATGATCAGAATCAGAAACAGGTTTATTACCGGGTAGGTTTACACATACGAGGAATTTGACTTGATGTCATGGTGCATACATTAAAAAATATTACAAATAATAAGAAATACAGTAAAATATAGCAGTATTTACATATAAATAAAATGGAATAAAATACGGCAGTAATACAAAAAGAAAACAGAAAACATGCCCTGAAGGAGTGCTATGAGAACTGTTAAATTCCAAATGCTATTGAGTTGTTCCTTATGTTAAAGACACATTTATTAAACAAGCCATAATATGCTTAATCATCCATTCATTACAATCAGAAGGCTACTATAATAATACAAAAATCAGTTTTGTATTATTGTCTAATCCTAATTTTTTCTTCATTTTTATAGACCTAATACTGTAGGTTTAAAGCTAAATATTCACCATATAATAAAATGCTGTTCATTAAATTGTATTATAATATCAAGTGTTTGATGTGCATTGCTGATAGTACTAGTAGGTGGACTCAAACAAGGGGTTGGTTTTATCCGTTTATGTTACATTTTTGTGCTTTTCTGCAATATTTTCTTCAAACCTACTGTATGAGGGCAACATTATTTTGGGTCCAGACTTTGTAAAAGATGTGATCAGACTTTGCTGATTTGATTCTTCATATTTAAAGGAGAAGGATCCCTCCCTCCCTCAGTCTTTGTTCTTGTTCCTCTCTTCTCTCAGGACCTGATGGACTTCCTGAATGCTAACGGCACAGAGTGCTCCGTGGTGCTCTTCTTCACCGCCTGGTGCCAGTTCTCTGCCGGGCTGGCACCTCATTTCAACGCCCTGCCTCGGGCTTTTCCCAGCATGCATTTCCTGGCACTGGATGCTTCGCAGCACAGCAGGTGATTATTCTTCTGATATTAATGTGTATTCTCCCATCTTATTGTAAAAGCCCACTTTATAGGGGCATTTGGGATTTCTAATTTCTATGAGTTCTTTATGGTCTTAAGCTTAAGTAAAATGTGCTTATACCTGGCAGAATTACAACTCACAGTTTTATCGCAACTTGTAAACTGTCTAATTAGATCATGGATCCATCGAAAAAGGTTATCCAGTGCTGGTTTTAACAACTTCGCCAAAAATGACATTTTCCCTTTGTTGGATTGTCTTATTTTTAGAGAAAATAAAAAAAAGATTTCAAGATAAATCTAAATGTTGTAAACCTTGTATATACGGTTTTGGTACGTTTGTGAGACATTGAGAGGTGTGTGCTATATTCTGTATACCCTCATGTATGTAAATGTCTGAAATGTAGGAACACCGTGGAATATAATGCAGATGAACACATAATCGCCATCAAACTCTTAACTAAAACATAATAATGTTAGGAATAATTTTTTGTTAAGATCAAATATACTGCAGACAGACCATATCTAAAACTATAACTTCATTTGTAATTTTTGTGTCTTGTTTGTTCCCATTTTTGGTCCACCAGCCTTTCCACCAGATTTGGGACCGTGGCAGTGCCCAACATCCTGCTGTTCCAGGGGGCCAAACCCATGGCCCGCTTCAACCACACGGACCGAACGCTGGAGACGCTCACCTCCTTCATCGCTAACCAGACAGGTACACACTAAATAGAAACAGTCTACAATAATGCGGTTTTAGGTTAGAGACAAGCAAGTTTAGTGTTGTTTGAAGATAAGGCTTACTCTTAGCTGGTTTAGTTTCAATTAATCAGTTCCTGTTGGTGACCACACTTGATGAAATCATCATTTGAAATGAAGGTTAACACAAAGGTTCTCAGTGACTAAGTAATATTAACTCACATAATACTTCATTTAGTTTTCCAAAATAATCGCCCTCTCATTCTGCGTGCCCTCTTAAAGCAGAGCTATGATGATAAATGTTGAAAGGACTTCGATAATTGCAAAAATCCAAAACACTGTCCTAAAATCTGGTTATCAGGTCCTACAACTATGTCCAGGTTAACAACAGGGATTAGCCTACAGCTACTGGATCTGTACCATCATTGTAAGAAGACTGGAAGTGCGTTCAACAAGGTATTATATGAACGTGGACTAAAGTACTAAACTACCTTTTGCTGCTACACCTGAATATCTGACACTTGACTTCTCAGAATCCCCCACAAAATTGGACTGGGTCTTTAAGTGTTTATAAGATAATTTGTGTGGTTTGAGGTAACATTTTATGGCAAAAAGAAATTGATTCGATATGTACAAAATAAAAAACATGTTGTGTGGTTTGTTAGTGTTTATTGTATGGTTTATAATCCCAGTATATCCAGCCTGCTTTATTTTCTGAACATTTGTTTTTGTGCTCAAGGGTTTGAAATCGGCTCTGACAAAAACGTGACGGATACAGACCGCCTCGGCCCACTCCCCAGCGTCCCGGTGAAGAGCATCGACTGGCTGCTGGTCTTCTCTGTCCTCTTCATCACAGGCTTCACTACGTACGCCATCTTGCGGACGGAGAGCATCCGCTGGCTCATACCGGGACAGGAGCACGAGCATCAGGACTGAAAACAGACAGACTTCAAGTCCCTCTGTGCAAACAACTTAGTTATTTTTTTTAAATTAACAGTTGCTAATTTGCTTATGTTTCAAGTGTGTGAGCCATTGTGATTTATAATAAATAATGTATTGATTTGCAGCTGTTAACCATTCAGGGCTTTTGGCTATGTTTGAAGACAGGGCTTGTGTTTTTTCTATTCTCTTATTTCGTATTAAATATTGTTTATATCTTGAAGAAAAAAGATGCTATAATAAGGGTCACATTAAGGAAAAGCTGAAATGGAGTTTAGTTAACTAATTTCATTAAAAAGAAAATAACAAGAATGTATCTAACATCAGAAGAATCAGAATCAAGTTTATTGCCAGGTACGTTTACACATACAAGGACTTTGCTTTGGTGTATGTGGGTGCAAACTTAAACACAACATAAGGAAATAAGTTGTAAGAGAAGATCAAAAATAGACGGTTATAAAGAGAAAATATTTTTTCAAAGTATTTAACATTAAAAAGAATAAAGACAAGTATTTTCACCAAATATAAATATATAAAAGAAACACAAAAAAATGTATACAATGAGTATGTGACAAACTGCATTATACTATATTTTAAGTGGAGGGCTGAGCAGATTTAAGAGAGGTAAGGATATGTAGAAATGTGAAAAAAATATTCAGAGATGAACATGGCTCACAGTATTAAAAAATAAGAACAATAATTATGTTTTCCAATGCACTATTTTGTGCTTACAGAAATTATACACGCTTTTACAAATGACGAAAAAGCCTTTTCAAAGGTTATTTCAGTGGGATCATATACTTTAAAATGCTGCTTTAATATAATAGATTTCCCATACATGTTGTCAGTGGTGTTATGTACTCAAGTTTTGTACTTACGATTTTGGGGTACTTTTATCATGCTAATGTATACTTCTACTCCAACACATTTTACAAGCCAATATAGTACTTTTACTCCACTACATTTATTTGACTAAATTAGTTACTTTACAGATTCAGATAATTAGCTAATGCAAAAATAAATAATAATAATAATAAAATAATCTTCCCCTTCCTTCAGACTTCCTTACAGAGCCCGTCCTCCAACACACACGAGCGAATGAGGGCACGAGATGGAAGGCTGACAGGCAGGTAGTCCATCCAATTATCTGCCGAGGACCGAGGCAGATGAAATATTTGTATATATTTATTGTCAAAGCTTTTAATTTATTCATTGCTATCGGGATGTTAAGAGCATTCCATGGAATATAACAAAAAGTGTTTCTGAAGTGAATTACCTATCCTACCTTTAAATGCAGGACTTTTACCTGTAGCTGACCTGAGTATTTTTACACTGTAGTAGTCCTACTTGTACTCAAGTAAAAATATCTGAGTTCTTTTTCCACCACTGCATGTTGTCATTATTAACTCAATTCAAATAGCTTTATTAGCATGACCATAATCACATACAGTATTATTGGCAAAGCTTTGACTAGAATATCTGGTTTGCAAGACCTGTATGGAGCCATACCCAGACTCCTTTAGAACACGTGGGATTTTAATCAGGCAGTTATCCGAACAGCTATGGTAGAGTGTGTGAGTACAGGAGAGGAAACAGGAGAGCAGGTGGTTTTGGAAAGAGGATAACAGCTGACAAAGGGTCAGTTATGTCTGTGTTAATGTGTGGCCTGAGGCCCTGTAACCGTGTGTTAATACGGAGCAGTCTAATGCTGTCCGGGCTCTGCAAGAACCACTCGTCTAAAGAGGTGAGGGCTGCCTGTAGAGACAAGGTGTTAGCATTAGCATCCGACCTGTGTTGACAATGTGAAGCTGCAGTTATGCAGTGTCTAATTTCATGAGACAGTTAAGAAATGCACACCTGTATAGGCTCTGAAGTAGGCTAGTAAGTGTCCATAGCTCCATACAAGACGCATAGTTATTTATGGAGAAGTAATTACGCCAAACTCCATTCAAAACACTCTGAATTGAATGTTTTCATGCATAACTGTACGATGGCACAGGTTTTTTTGCAGCATTTCTGGAATGTTTTAATAGTTTCGGAGCTGTTCTTCAATTCGGCTGTGATATGTTGATCGATACAAGTTGCATGCAATATTATCATGACATTTAAACTGAGTGAGAATTAACTCGTGCTATATATCCTACTGTTTATTTAATCATTTGGGACTCCTATTATGTGTTCTTTTGCAATTATAAACGTGCCGAATTGTATAGTGTTTGCAACAAGTAAGAAAAGCCATAACTTTCATTGTGAATTCTGAAATGATAATGGCGTTCAGTATGCTTTTCTAATGTACATATGGGATTTCAAGCTCATATTGATGATGGTCACGCGCATACAGTTAATTAGTATTTGTTACATACTATTTATTTAACTTTTTAACTTACTTTGTACAATTTCTGTGTACTTCTGTGTAATTTCTGAAGTACACACTATTGATGCTATACTGCCACCTTGCGGACACAGCACTATTAACACTCAGGTAGGCCTAACAGAATGAAGATGACATTTGAGTATTATGAATCACATCTCAAGTTAATTTTATAAATCAAATCTATTTGATAAAAATGACGTTTTGTCAGATAAAAAAAGAAAGCACTAAGGTTATGTAATTTGTCGCTTCAAATATTAGTTTTCGAGATAAGATGTTGTTTGAAACTGATACAAAAACAACATTACATCAACCTATTGAGCACACCACAGCATATTGAGAAAAGAGAATTAACAGGTTTACAAAATGAAGTTATTAACATTGATACTTTTGTGTATGTTTGTGTCCAGTCTTCCCACTGGCTGTCCCCTGCAGACCGGGATCAGCAGGTGAAGGAGCTCAGGACCGCAGGATGGGTGGAGGTGAAGGGTCGTGATGCCATCTTCAAAGAACTTCACTTCAAAACCTTTAATCAGGTGTGTGTGTGTGTATTTATGTTGATGTACCTCTGACATGTGTGAGTCAATGCAGGTTGACTTTTTTTTGTCACTTCATTCGTTTTTTTTTTACGATTTGGGTTTAAGGTTATCAGAATCCGAATTCCTTTATTTGTCCCACAAATGGGAAATGTACAATATAAATTACTTTTTGACAATGCTGAAGAACATAGTGTGTAGCAGCAAGTAAATCATCATCAAGCATTTTGTATTCGCTTATAATAGTAATAATAATATATGTAATTTATATATCGCTTTACAAACACACAAAGACACTTTATAAAAGTCACTGATATAATCAAGTACAAGGTCATGTATCATGATACTTCACAATTGTCACTCGGTGACATTATCTTTTTGAAAGCATCATAGTTTATTATACCTTTTTGTTTTGAAGAATTGTTGTCATTGTAATGCATCATTAGTGTTTGTTGGTTGCGTTAGGTAAATTGAAAAATAATAATAATTGAATCTATGCAAGAACAACACATGGTCAAATAAAATTTTACTTCAAGCCAACAGTGATTACTAAGAGTCACTTAATCACTTTATAATGCATCATAACAGTGAATTTAATGTACTAGAACTATGCTAGTTATACACTATGATGTTTTCAAAGACACACATTTAAATGGGTGAGCAGCAATTTTAAAGGATTTTTCAAAACACTTTAACAAGCAGATAATGACGATTGTTTTTGTTTATTATACCATTTTGGCATTATTGACAAGATTACCAGTCATACGTACTCACAGGGATCATAACATAGGACATCATTTGCATCACTGTGCATCTGGTTAGAGTGTGTATATGGGATTTAATTAAATTCATAATGACAGAGAAAAGACACTGGAAGCTGACATCTGCTTCAGTGTTTTTTTCCAGACGGCCGGTAGAGTCTGCTATCAAACTGTCATCTTTTTTGGGGGAAATCAGTTGCCCTCTGCGTTCTGCTGCTCTGGTCTTTAGGCGGCTGTTGTAAAGTGGCTCTAAGTTTATTTGATGGGGATCAGAATGCAGACCGCCAGACGCACGACCATCTCGCTAACCATCGGAAACACAAATTCATCTGTGTTTATATGCTGATTGGTTGCAGGTGTAGCGGTAGACAGGTTCCTCTCTGCTTTCGTTGGATTCTTTTGGTTCCAACCTGCAAAGTAGAGCACTGATGACATTTAAAAGGTTGTTTATAAGAAAGAAAAGGCCATTCTTTCCTACTCATTAATAATTGGTTGAGCATGGGGTGCTAATTACGACAGGGCGTGCTGGACGCTTCGGTATTTAAAGTCTTGTAACCTTACGTTGCTATAAGCAAAAAAGTTGTTTGTATTTAAATTGTGCTTATTTATAGTACTTGAAAAACCAAATGGACAGGTTTGGCCCAATCCTGGTCTTTGCTCTCCATTTGAAATGGAATGTACAGTTTTGTTGCAATGCTATACCAATACTCTAAGATATCTATACAGTTAGATATATTACAGTATTGCCATACGGAAATGATACTATGAGGAATATGAGCATATTTTTCTATAATCAATTAATGTTTTTTTTGTGTCAAACCCTCGAAATGGCCCATCCATCATGAGATCACATGACAAAAATACCAAAACTTAATGCCTTTTTTTTATTTAAATAGTAAATTCTCAAGGTTCACTTACTTAACTTTTTTTGGGAGATTTCAAAAATATTCCACAGCACTTTTTTTAACAAATGCTTGCTCTGGTGTTATCTTCGCCATAGTACACAGTTGCCTTTGTGAACTTTTCTCGTCCCCAAGTCCATTTTCATAACACTTTTCTGAGTTTTGAACTCTTAAAACCTTTTCTTTTAATATATACATTTGACAGTACAGTATTGGTAGGCAGCCTACCACTTTTCTCAGTCCTGTATTGGACGACCTAAACTGCAACATCTCAACAAGACCACTTAGCGGACTTCCTCTAATCCTGTCGTTAGTTGTTTTAGCCCCTAACATAGTCTGTTTTTACACTTCCCCGTGTTTGAAGTTTGGGGCCAAGCGCTGACCTCCCCCATCGACTCCTCCTGGCTCTAAAGCCTCTCCTCTTACCCCGACACGTCAGACTGCATTACCCTGAGACACGCCAGGCGTCCAGTTGGCAGTAATTGGGGTTTCGATCAGAATGATTTCTTTCACAAACAATCAAATTGGTTAAAATGTTTCATCTGGTTCACAAACCACTAACAATCCCATCATTCCTTCTGGTCGATGTGCATTTCAGGTTTTTTTTCTTGCTCTTTGCCACACTCCTGTTCCAATCTCTGCTTTACTCTGTCTCTTATTCCCATTCTGTGCCCCATGTTATTGGGCTCATGTTGTTCCAATTGTAGATGTTGGCAACTCTCTCTCCGTCTGTCTCTCTGTTCTTCTTTTTCGCTGTCTTTTATTCTCCCTCCATGTATTTTTTACATACTGTAGCTTTGTTTTTTATGGCTGTTCTTAAAGGGCTTTTACCAGGGGAGAATTGAGATGAGGAGCGACATGCTGGCTGATTTCCATTCGCCACTTATCTGCGAGTGATGGGCTCCAAGAAATCAGATCCCCGAGAGTTTATAATGAGAATAACAAATCCCCTCTGTGCGTTGAAACACTTCCTCTTGTGGTCTTTAGGGGGCGGTAGAGGTGTGTCTATGGCTCTGCAAATCCACAGTGGCACTTTGTTGAAGTGGAGCTAAATACATGACACACAGGGACATTCATAGCTGCAAATGAATTCAAAAAGAACATGACAGCTGGATTTCTACGTTTATTTTCCATGATTACAGCAAGTGGAAAGTGCTAGATGCTTTAGCAGCTAATTTATCTGTGGCATGTGGGTAAACTGCGTTGATGGTGGCAGTGGTCTGAAAAGTTGCTGAGTTATTTTCCTCATCAAGTCCGGTGATGTTTAATCAGGTTTGAGAGGTGAAATCCTCGGTCTGGAGTCACTTTGGTCAGTGAAAATCCCTGCAATCATATGTGGAAACATCTGTTTCATACTGTACATTTTCGTTGGATTTGGGCTTGTTTTTAAGTTGCAGTCCCTGATATTGTTTACGTTTTAAGCCTTATGTTATGTATGTTTACTGATGACCATCTGCTTTATGTTTTGGTGGACAATGTGGAAACATTTACGCGACACAAGTGAAATTGGTAGCCGAAAGATGCAGTTTGGATAGGAGAGGAGAGGTGAGCTGTGCATTCTCAACTGTTGTGTTATGTTAGCTGAAGTTGACAATGATGGCATTTCAACTTTCTCCACAAACGTTCAGTCTTACAGTGATGGGAAAAATGCCTCAAAAGTTGTGACTGGGAATGAAAAATGGCTTGTTATTATCTTGATTATCTCCTACAAAGTGAACAAGACTGACCTTTAAACTAACAATAGAAACGTTTAACAAGGTAAATATCTGTCAGTGCACAAAACTGTTTATTTATTGGTTAAAGAGGCAGATGAATGAATAGCTTTCCAGTAATTCAGAGTCTAACCATTCTTCAAGACAACTTGTGTAATGGAACAGCGACTATAGATCCAAAATGGCTACCAAAATGTGATAATTTCACTGTAAAAAATGTTGACTTTATGACAAACTATTTTCAATGTACTCACGTGCATGTTGAAGTCCAAATAGCACTCTGAAAGATATTTAGAGTCAAAAGGATGTAAGGATTCACAACATTATCATTTAATAGGATACTTTGCTCTGTTAATCAACATGTTGCATTATATTATCACATTCATAGTGAATATCTGCAGCATTCACTCAATGGTACGTTCTTAATAGGGGCTATTTTGTCGCATTCATGTTCTCCTAACCTTTCAGTGACTTTTCTACATGTCTGTGTGAGAGGAAAGAACATTTCTTAAGAAATCAGTTGGAAAGGATCATCAATCAGTCTTACAGATATATAAAAGCCAGGATAGTGTGTTCATTCAAAATCATAATGAGCACATAAATGTCCCAGACTGTAGATTTAGCAACTGCTTTAAGGCCATATTAAAAAAGCATTCCTTGTCAAAAGTTTAGCTTGAAAGATGCATAAATTACCATTTAAGTATTTGTCTTTGTATAAATAAATGTGTGTGATATAATGCAACAAAATAAAGATGACACCAACTTGAGACAAATGACACGGCAAAGTTGTGGTTGACCACAGACAATAACCGCATTACACCAGAAAAGGCTGCAGCGTCCACACAGCTTCAGGACTTAAGGTCCAATTGTGAGACTGAGGAGAGCGCTGCTGTTGTTCAGACAGCTCCCTCCGCTCTCTGAGGCTGATCCCCCTTTTTATATTCTGTCGGGGGCTTCCTCTCCACCAAAGCTCCTTCAAGCCTCTGCCTCTCGTTACGGGCCTTGCTCTGCTTGTGTTGAATAAGTTGTCCTACAACTAAAACTGAGCCCCTGTGTTAACCAAACTTTCAGAGCCACCCCCCTCCTGCTTCACACACACACACACACACACACACACACACACACACACACACACACACACACACACACACACACACACACACACAGACGTGCACACGTACACGCATGTACACACGTAGCAAACATACACCTGTACACACGTAGCAAGCATGCACACACACACACACACACACACACACACACACACACACACACACACACACACACACACACACACACACACACACACACTCATAGTTTTACACCTTGACTGAAATCGAACTCTGATGGAGACCCAAAAAAGTCAAATGTTTTGCCATAAAATGTTGAAAAATGTATAATAAAGGCATACAAGTCTTCCAGCCTTTAAAACTCCATATCTAAACCCTAGTATTTAAACACACATGTATACATAATCACCTTACACAAGCGCTCACGCCATATCCCTTACTCACAGCGAGAGGCCGGTTAATCAGCTCAGTGGTGTTTAGTTCCCACCTCGCTCTCCAAAATGGAGCGCTCCCTGGGAACTGGAGGCATCACGCATTCATCACGTCTTGTGAAAATGGCTGCAGGGAAGCAGTGAGGTGTGGCGCCTCAGCAGAGGTGGTTAGATAATCTGGCTATCAGTGCTTGGGTAAGCTAAGATGACCCTGATGTCTGCTGTCTTTTGACGAGCCCAATGTCTTTTTAAGCCCTCGCTGATAACCCTGCAGTTAATGAGGGGCTTTCATAAGTTGGCCTTAACACCATGAGCATTACATGACACTCGTTACATATATATATATAGGCGTTGACTTGCACGGACATTTGTTACATAGGATTTTAGTCACAGACTGCATCATCTTTGTATCGAATTGAAGCTCTTGTCTGTGTTTCACAACTTTATGAACATAAATGTGTGATATAACATTTAGAACCCAGCAGAGAGATATCTACTGCGTGGAGGAATTCCAGCGCTTGGCAGCTTTGCTTCATAACGATTCAATAGTTTGCTTTAAGTTACATGTCAACTTAGCAGGCACTGCCAGCTGGAAGCTTGTGAGGAGCTGTTTGGGAAAGGAGAGAAACGAGACATAAGAGGTGTGGTCGTCATCATCATCATCACCACCACCACCACCGTGCAATTCACAGCGTTCTTGTCTTTCACTGCGGAGGAGCGAAGGTTTTCCAGGGTGCTGACGCGGATGATGATGGGGCTCGCAGGGTAATCATTGGGTATTCACGGTGGTGTGTAATGGTGGAGAGCGGCTTGTCGTCTTATGTGTGTGTCGACACATCCTTGTGTGTATGCTGAGAAGGTTTGCGTATGTGCATTCGTGCATGCATCAGTGTGCATTTGTGTGTGTCCATCAGAGGCAAGTAAGAGTAGGCACAATCTGCATGCACTTAGTCCTGGCAAGACAGAGCAGGCGTTTCTAAGCCCTTGGACAGCGCGGCGGTGGAAAACCGATCTGTAAATAACAGACACATGTGTTTGAAACTGAGTCCTGTATTCCAGCCCACGGCCGCAATGAGAGAGAGAACACCACTCTGCTCCGACGTCAAATTGTCTCATCCAGTGTTGTATGACAATCATGCAGTAATAGCACCAAATCGGCTCCTCAAAAGCTGGTGCGCAGAGGAAGGGGCAAAGCGGAGGCCTGCCGTCGGGTGTTTCTGATTATTTGAGATGGGGGGGCCTGCGAAATGTCATGTCAAATTATCTGGGTCTGACAGCTACAGCTTGTTGGGCCAGTTTGGAGAGAGCGGCTGGCTGGCTGAATGAATGGATGGTTGGCCGACTGGCTGGCTGACCTGTTGGCTCGAGAAGTGTGGCCCGGACAATACAAATGGTGTAAACAAAGCACTTTGAGAGGGAGAGTCCTTGACCTCTGTTGACATAAGACCTCAGCTGGGAGTTGAGGGTCGGTTTTATTTCCTTGTTTAGCCGAAGTGGAGGGTGTTGAGATGACCTACAGGTGACAGACGTAGCACCGCCACTTCGCCAGTATTGTGTCTTGCTGCTACTCTCCTTACTGCCCCCGAGGGACCACCGCCTGTGAGAGAATCCCATTTTTCACCCCTTTTCAGCTTATTTGGACATTCAACTCCAATTCATTTGTATTGGGAGATTACTGCTTTCCTTGCTCTTTTTCTCTCCTCATTTTTTGTCTTCCTGGGACATGAGAGTTCAGGTTGCATACAGGCTAAACTTCTTCTGTTTCACATTCCTCTTCCCATCAAAACGCATTGCGCTCTGTGGGTTGTTTGCACATCAATGAGGTTCAAACGTGGACATGTAATTGTCCATTGTTGAGTGTGACCTTTTTCTGGAAAATAGCAGTGGGTTTTGTGACGAACTTTGAAGTTTGGATAATGAGGGTAAGCTCTGGTCGGGGTTGGTCCACTGTCACTTCAAAATGCAAATACAAAACACACTTCTATCACAGCATTCACTCTTAATCATTGGCAAACTTCATCATGCCATGAGCTGGCTTTGGAAGATAAATATACTTTTGAATAAAAACTGATTGGAAGTTTGCAATTATTTGTCTGGACTAGAATTTCCTTCCCCTGCCAAGTTTGGAAGTCTATGAAATTGTATCATACAGATGTGACTGCACATGTTTGTAGTTGCACACCCGTCATTATTTCAGTGAGTCTGCAACTGTGTTATTGTGATCATGTATCTTTAAAGTGCTGTGACCCAGTTGGCAGACATGTAGTGTTAAACGGGATCCTCCCTGTATTAAAGAGGGAAGTACACCCATTATTCACACATGCTGATCAAGGTCAGGAGCCTGAATTTAGTACACTCTTGTAGGTGGCCATGAACAGCATACAGCGGGCAAAAATCCTCAAATTCTGCCAAAAAATGTAAAAGGCATTTAATTGATTTCCTGATAACGGCCAATGACTCTGATTACAGAGTATCAACTAATACCTAAAACTTGTCCTGGACATTTTTGTGTGGCGATTACAAGTATATGTAGTCAAAATTGGACAACAATATTGATCTGACTCTAACATTAAAAAAATCCAGTGATATCATTTATTTCCGTCATTCCAAATTTTTTAGCTTGTTATTTACACTAACTGCACAATGGAGACCGTCAAACTCGCTTTTTGCGTCAGAGATAAAACGGTATGGGGAGGTTAATGCAATAATAAAACTGTACTTTGTCAATGTAAACAAGCATCATTTACATCTGCGACTGAAAGGTCCGTGAAGAAGAATGGAAATCATTAATAATGTAATGTAAAAAACAGTGTTCACATATATTCCTAACCCAAGTTTGGCCAATTGTGAGTATGTTGATATGCCAAGAGGATGAGTTTTTTATTCCCTAACAGAGTCAAAGCTGGAAATTGTTTTCTGAAAGAACATGGTGTTTTGAAATGGGACAATGTGCAGGAACCTTTAAGTGTTCACACAGGATCCTTTTACCTGTCACTCAGTGTTCCTCAGCAGCAGATTAGCCTGAGCTCGGCCCTGAGAGAGAGACGGCATGTTTGGACAACACCTGACATGACAGGCTGCTTAGCCATCTCCATTAGAGCCAATGAGAACTGAGAGAAAGCAGACCGCCTCAGTCTCCAAATTGGTGCCAGTGGGGTCAAGTTGCAGGAATATGCCAATTACTTAAATTGATCAGGAGACGGTTTCTTGATAACCAATTTGATCAAGCTGCCGATCGTGTTACACGCGCCGCGCTGCACGGGCACCCAACAGGACGTCTCAGAAATTGGTTACAACGCACTAAAAAGGCTAAACGCAATTTCTTCTGTGAGTGTAATTCTGTTTCGTCATGTCAGGTGGTGGAAGGGGCCGCAGCCATGGTCTGTAAACAATGGCTTTTCAGTTGATTTAATTAGACAGGGAGGAAGTATTTAGGGGCTTAATTGAGATTGCAGTGGGAAATTGCTCTGAAATAGGTCTACCTGATTTGATTTTTTTTCTCCTCTCTTCACAGTGGGCCTGACGAGGGATTTCACTCTTCTCTTTGTAGATAATTAGAATAACCATAATCACTCCCTGGATGGCCTGTGATTGGAGAGAGTCACATGCCAAACCTGAAATATGAAGAGTGTGTATGTTTCGGAGTATGTGCATGCTGTGTGTGTGTGGGGCAGTGGGTGTGGAAGTATGAACATACTTCATTTTTACAGCTGCAGATACAAGTTGATTTATCAATTAGTTATTCAGCGAAAAACATGATCAACTTTTGGGAATATTTGAATAATAATGTTCATCAGGTTGAAAATAAGAAATACATTTATTCCAGTTTTGGATCGTTTGTTAGACAAAACGAGACATTTCAAGAGGCCACCTTTGGTTTCTGGGATGTTTTAATGGCCATATATTTCACAAATTTTGTACACCAAATCCCTAATCCAATCCAATGAATCAAGAAATAATGTAATGGTTATTCTGAACAAATATATTTTATTAGTAGTAGCCTTACATTTAATGATTACTGAGTCATTGATCCTGGCCTGGTATAGTGGCATTTTTGTGTTGTAGCGTTATCATTCTTTGTCACATGAGAGATCTTTTTTGTGGTCACAGCTATGAAGTTTTAAACGGTAAAAATTCCTGAATATTTTTTGATTGACAGTTGACTGTTTCTTTTAACAGGCATTCGGCTTCATGTCTCGAGTGGCTCTGCAGGCAGAGAAGATGAACCACCACCCAGAATGGTTCAATGTTTATAATAAGGTAATACATTTCTCCACCTTATGTAATTGTGATTGAGGAGTCACTTGCAGTGCTGCATTTGTTTAGTATCCATTACAGAAATCAAGGCTCGGAGAATCAAACAGTGTTATCACGGTGATGTGTTTGAGACACTGCCATATTTACAATGCTACGGTTGGCTTATGACAAATTACAGACACGCCGAGATCAATCGACTGTGGATAAAGTCAGATTTTTGCATGTCAAACAATTCTCACTAGTTCTGGAGAGATCTCCACTCAAAGCCTGAAACGCACTCTGCAAGTCAGGATGAGGGGGGAACGCAGTAGCTTCACACTCTAATCCCATCGCTTTTCTTGTGCAAATATCTCTACCTCCCGTCCACTACCCCAACGCTCACACACACTCTCACTTTCTGTGCCTCAGAAATAAAGTAGCGGTTGATATGACAAACCCAGTCCCTGAAAATCTCTCAGCATTAGGCTGAAGCCACTGAGTTAGTGTGTGGTGGGCCGGGCCGCTCTGACAGGAATGCTGCTCCTAATCCACTCTTTATTAAAGTGGCTGTAGAACGGTGCTACAGGTCTCTGGGCCCCCGCAGCACTTTCCACCAGACACTCTCACATAAATCCAACTTCGACAGATCTTCGACAAAGTAGATGTTGTATACAAAGCTACTGCTAATATTCTTTTAATATTCATTCATGCTCTGTGCTGTTTTATTGGCTCTCAATATTAAGAAGTGAATTTCTTTCTGGGCCGAAGCTTCTCTCCATGGAATAACCTCATTGGTTGAGTCAAACTCAATGGGTGGAGCCAAATGCTGGACATGGAGATGGAAGTACACTGTATTTCTCGCACTTCCTAACAAATAACTCTTGATTTTTGAAGGTTTTCAAGCAATAGTTAGACAACATTTTTGTTCTGAGTACTGAGCTGGAGTCAGGATTTGGCTACCTTAGTATAAACACTGGAAAACAATTTCAGTCATCGCAGTTGTGTCACAAAGACCAAACTAAAGCACTTTCAACATAATCCACTTCCCCTGATCACATTCTAAAACCAAATTATAAGTGAGTTCGTTGATATATTTATTTTGAAAGATATTCTCCTTTGCCATCTTAATTGGATAATTAGAGATCATGAACATTTTCATTCTAATAAACAAATGTGATTAATGCCCTGTTGTTTATGGCATTTTGTTGCTTTGTGATTGCTAACAATGTGTATGTATCCTCACAGGTCCAGATTACATTGACCACACATGACTGTGGAGGACTGTCAACACGGGACGTCAAAATGGCAAAGTTTATTGACAAAATTGCACCTTCAGATTGAGGTTTTTGTCTTCAATCAGAAAGTTTCTCTGCAAATAATTATTCCTAATAAAAATGATTTAAATATGTGTCTGGGTTCATCTGGGTGAAAGATATAATATTTACCTTTTTTCAACAAGCTTTCTCTAACAATAAAACTTTGATTTAGTCAAACTGGGTTATTGTTACAATAATGTGGTCCTGCACTGATCCTCTTTAATAAGTTGAAAGTTTAGAGAAAAACCCTTCTTCGTGGTCCAGATTTTGTCGCTTTCTGATTCTGGAAGCTTTAATTTACCGTAGTTGTGTGCGTCAGTGTATGGTTTTCTTGTTCTCAGCAGTGTTTATTTTCACACATGAAGTTAAAATGTAGTGTAATTGCTCTGCAGTAGTCTGTCCGGTACTTGCCAACCATCAGGAGGACACTCTTCCATTTAAATCCTCCACCAAGACCACATGTTCTCCTTTTGGCCATGGAGAGTGGAGAAAAAATGTGGCAGGGGTGAAAGTCAGTAGGAAGGGGATTTATGTGATTTACCGTTTGGTAAGGGATGAGTCACATAGAGCTGTAGTGTTTTACTGACTGGATCGCCATCAGGAGAAGATCACTAAAGTGAGAAGAGTGTAATAACAGCCAAACTAGTAGACCTGTGTTGCAAAAAGCCTCTTAGTCTGTCCTTTTCTGTGCTTTGTACCTTTAACCTGGCGAGGGTAAGTACATTTATAAGGTATGTAGATACAGTAGTACATTCTGTGTGTTTCCTTACCCAACATGTTGTTACTATAATTAGTCACCCTTTACTGATTAGGTCAAGGTGAAAAGTCCCCCAAAATCCACATTCTATCATCAAACGTACCATTTGTTTAGGCTCTTCTGTAATATGTTTTCTTCAGATGACATTTCTGCATCAAAGTTCTGTTCAAACAGAATACAACTTTACAGTACAGTATGTAATCTATGCTTGACTGTTGCTGCTTAGGCTACAATTGTTCTGTTTCTTTCAGGCCTTGACTTACAGGGTAATATGAACCTTATGGGCTATAGACAGACTGCATTTACAATAGATTAAATAATTTGTCGAATTTTCACTGTTTTGCCTTTTTCACAGTGAAGGCTATCCAGGCCCACACACCCATGGTGAAGTGAAAGCATGTGCTCAAAGTTAGATACATGTATACCACATTGCAAAGATGTTTTCTAAACACTTACCTATTTTCATTCATCTGTACAGTTGAGTTTTGACCAAAATTAAAGAACAGGTTGCATGTGTTGTGTATTAAATCGGACAACATTGACCCACACAGCCACCGCTCCTAATGTTTCTTGTGTAAGAAGACAACCCCTGCAAGGCTGGAAACAAAATATTTTAAATGGTACTTACACAAACCACCATGCCTCTGAACTGTGTGTATTATTGTCAGGTGGTCACAGCAGCATATAACAACACATTCATCTGCAGCAGACTCCTTCAGTAGTGGTGCAATGTGTGTAAGAACAATGTCAGCAATGGTGGAGAAAGTACTTGGATCTCAACATTTCTAGAAAAGTAATGCATTTACAATTAGTCAAATAAATATGTATAATTAGCAAAGAAACTATTTCTGTTAACACAAACAAAAAGACAAATATTAATGTTTTTGTATGTCTTCATTGAGTCAAAACAATTGAATATCCTGAGTAACACTTCATTCTGTGTATACACTAAACCCTCAGATGTATTATGAACATCTCCTCAAACACAGCTGCAATAAATGATGTTGTTTAGAACTCTAGATCAGCCGATTTACACCCCTAACTTTTCTTTTTTAGGGTTGCAAGGAACAATTGAATGTATCAATTAGGCTGATCATTTCCCCCCCGAGTCATGGTTTGGAATGCCCATCCCAATTACAATCCAATCCTCACATCTTAGAAGCTGGAACCATTGGATGTTTAAGAGTGTTTCTTGACACACAAGTTAAATAGTTTTCAAAATGATCATTAAATTATTTATCAACTGTTGGATTCATTGACTGTTATTGTTAGTCCCTACAAGCCCCTCCAACAGATTGGTCACCATTATCTGTCCCCTAAAGGGGGGGGAAGAGGGGGGAGACTTTCGAGGGACCAGACAGCAGTAGGCCAGTCCGGGGCAGACCAGGCCAGATGTGGCTCCTTCTGATAATTGGCATCAGCTGATGGCCATGGCAGCAGGCAGCCGAGCCAGTCCTCCCATTAGTGAACTCCCTGGATTCTGGCCCCTTAATCCGTTTTCAGCTTCACCCACTAATTCTGCACCGACAGCAGTCCAGTCTCCACACACAAACCCATGAGAACCAGAGGGAGATAGACAGCCAGGGGAAGAAATGAGGAAGAAAGAGGAGACAGAGAAAGTAGGGAGGGTAATTGAGGGGGGGCAGGGGACAAGCAATTGTGGAGGTGGAAGGGAGTAAAAGACACACACAGAGAGAAAAGTGCAAAGCAATCGAGTTGAAGATAGATGAGTGGGACAGGACAGGCGTGGGATGACATTTTCCCTTTTTTCTTGTGCAGTCCTTGAAATGGAAAAATAATAATTCTCCCCAGCATAAAGCGACAGAAAAGTAAAGAGAGAGATTGAGTGGGGGTTTCTTCAGCGAGGGAAGAAACAGCTAGCAGGAGAGAGGCTTTCTGGGCTTTTTCCAAATAGCTGCTACTTGATAGAGGCCCATATTTCTCCAGTGTGTGAATCGCTGTTTCACTCGCTGCCATGTGGGGAAGGGTTGATGGTCCCAGTAGTTGCAATCTGACACTGCCAAATAAAGATAACAAGGTCATAGAAAGTCAATCTTGAGCTAAGTCTGCTTTTAAAGTTTCCAGGGGGAGTGCGCAGGCCAGCGTTTAGCATGTGGACTCCTGTGTTGTGGGATTCGCTGCAGACACACTGCTGATAGTAATCACAGTGTGAGGTTCATGCCAAAAGCAACCAGGAGCTTAACATTTGCAGAGACATTTGTAAGGCATTTGTTATTCGATCAAATGCACACCCTTTGTACAATTCCCCTGTGGTGTGGCAGTTATTACCGGACGGTCACTGACTGTTCTCATCTGTGTGATCAGAAACATATTGATGTCTGTTTTGCTGATATGGCAGTTTCACGCTGTCTTCTTTCATTTAAAAGACAAGTTGTCAGCAGCTCTTCTTTTTGTGAAAAGGAAAACACTTTTTTTTCGGATATGAGGGATCACGCTAATGGTTGTCATGCTGCTTCGAGAGTAAAGTGAGGAATCAGCAACAGCTCCCTAATACACATATCCATCACAATTGTCCAGATTTCATGAGCTTAGAAAAGCCCAGTTTCTTACAGCTTTGGGATAAGGTAGTTTTAAGAATAATTGGAACTTTAGACGTTGCAGTATTTTGAGATAAATGTGTAATTTAGAATGCTATCATGCTCTAAATGAAAATGGGTGGCAGCCGGTATCTTATTTACCACATTCACCACCTTAGCGTGATTGCATGCAAACACTTGATAATTAGCACTTAAAACAGGAAAGGGTTCTAAGATAAAGACATGGAAAAAACCCAGACCAGACCACACTGTGGCGAACTGTCAATCAAAGTAACCCCTGTGGTGCCGAGAGATGGGAGTCGGAAGCGGGGTATCGAAGGTACAAGCTATACTTTTATTGAGCATCTGCAAAACATGTAAACCACACTTCAAGCCCGGGAAGCGAAAACCGGCGAAAACAGGAAGTCCGGCTCGCTCTAATGTCCGTGCAGCACAATACCCCAACACATAGATCCGTGGGTGAATAATGTCAATCACCACACAAGCCCCCCCAGTATTCACCCATAGTCAAAATCCCCGTGCCTCGGAGGAAGTACCACCCGACCCCGGCGCGTACGGACCACAGGGGCCGAGGAGGGCGGGGCCGCAGGCGAGGGCAGGGGCAGGGGTGCCAACGAGGGCGAGGGCATCCCCACAGGGGGTGGGGGGCGGGCCATGGGAGGGCGGCCCCGACATGGGGGCAGAGCCAACTCCAACGGCCTGGAAACATCCACGTGAGCAGGCTTAATCCGATCAACGGACACAGGCCTCAGGCCTGCCACCAACGTCCACCACCAGGCTCTTGTCCCCGTGACGCATGACCCTGAACGCACCGTCGTAAGGGGGCCGCAGGGGACCGCGGTGGGCGTCGTGGCGAATAAAAACAAAATCCGCCGACCGTAATCCGGGGGACACCCGGAAAGCTGGGTTGCTGTGCTGCGACGTGGGGACGGGCGTGAATGTCCCGGCGGTTTCCAGCAGGGAGGAGCGTTGCCCGGCCGCAGACCAGGGCACAGTGGCGGTGGGAATGAATTCCCCGGGGACCCGTAGCGTCTGGCCATAGACAAGCTCCGCCGACGAGGACTGCAGGTCTTCTTTGGGAGCACACCTGAGGCCGAGCATAACCCACGGGAGCTTATCCACCCAGTTGCCGTCGGTCAAGCCGGCACGCAGTGACCTGATTCGCCTCGACGTCGGAAGCGGACGTCGAGGCGAGGGGAACGGCCTCGGGCCAGCGGGTCGTCCTGTCCACCATCGTAAACAGGTAGGTGAAACCGTGAGAGGGGGGAAGCGGACCTACGAGGTCGACATTGACATGGTCAAACCTCCTCTCAGGAACTGCAAAATGTTCAAAAGGGGCCCTAGTATGGCGGTGGACTTTAGCCCGTTGACAAGCCACGCATGCGTCGACCCAGGACTTCACGTCCTTCTTAAGCCCCTGCCACACGAACTTCACGGACGGCTTCCTACCGGGGTGGGAAAGATTGTGAACCGCCTCAAAAACGGGTCGGCGCCAGGCCGCAGGGACCAGCGGTCGAGGCTGGCCCGTGGAGACGTCACACCACAGCTTTACGCCAGAGTCACCGTGACCTCCTCCAGGCGTAATCCCGTGACCGAGGCCTTGAGGGTCTGGACCCCGTGGTCAGAGGCCTGGTCAGCGCCCATGCGGAGGTAATCGAGGCCCAGCTGCACAGCTCCGATGACCGCTCTGGAGAGGCAGTCCGCGACCACGTTAGCCTTGCCAGCGATGTGTCGTATGTCCGTGGTGTACTCGGAGATGTACGAAAGCTGGCGTTGCTGTCGGGCGGACCACGGCTCGGCCACCTTGGACATGCAGAAGGTCAGTGGCTTGTGATCCACGAACGCTGCAAACTCCCGGCCTTCCAGCAGGAAACGGAAGTGGCGAACCGCCAAATAGAGACCAAGGAGTTCTCTGTCGAAAGTGCTGTACTTGCGCTCCCTGGGAGTCAACTGGCGGCTGAAAAAGGCGAGCGGTTGCCAGGCGCCGTCGACCCATTGTTCATGCACCGCGCCCACTGCGTAGTCTGACGCGTCGGTGGTGATAGCGATGGGGGCCCTGTGTGACGGGTGAGCCAACATGGCGGCTTATTTCTCTCAAATCTGGCAAAAGAGTGGGCAGGGCGCAGTGTCTAATTGTAGCAGTAAGCTAACGAGTACTGATAAGCTTTATTTTGTTTTGATCCAATGCTTCACAACTAACTAAATCCAAAGCTGCTGTGAAAAAAAGAAGCTATATCCATGTTGGATAGAATATCAAATTTAAATAAAAAAATAACCTTAAGGGACAACTTGAATGCTTTTTTTTCTCTTAATACATTGCATAAAGATCGGATCGGGAAAAATCGGTATCGGCAAATTGTCAAAATCAAATGATAGGAATCGGATCTGGAGCAAAAAAAGGTGATCGGGACATCCCTAGTCAGGACCCCGTGGTCAGAGGCCTGGTCAGCGCCCATGCGGAGGTAATCGAGGCCCAGCTGCACAGCTCCGATGACCGCTCTGGAGAGGCAGCCCGCGACCACGTTAGCCTTGCCAGCGATGTGTCGTATGTCCGTGGTGTACTCGGAGATGTACGAAAGCTGGCGTTGCTGTCGGGCGGACCACGGCTCGGCCACCTTGGACATGCAGAAGGTCAGTGGCTTGTTATCCACGAGCGCCGCAAACTTCCGGCCTTCCAGCAGGAAACGGATGTGGCGAACCGCCAAATAGGGACCAAAGATTTCTCTGTCGAAAGCGCTGTACTTGCGCTCCCTGGGAGTCAACTTGCGGCTGAAAAAGGCGACCAGGATGTCGTCTAAATAGACGAAGATGAATGACATGTCTCCGAGTGCTGAATCCATCAGCTGCTGAAAGGACTGAGCTGCGTTCTTAAGTCCGAACAGCATACGCAGAAACTCGAACAGCCCGAACGGCATACTCACCGCAGTTTTGGGGACGTCCGAGGGGTACACCGGAACCTGGTGGTAGCCCCGCACCAGATCCACCTTGGAGAAAACCAGCTTGCCCGCCAGGTGTGCAGAGAAGTCCTGGATGTGAGGGACCGGGTAGCGGTCTGGCATAGTGGCGTCGTTAAGGCGGCGGTAGTCACCACACGGTCGCCAGCCACCGGCTGATTTAGGGACCATGTGAAGGGGCGAAGCCCAAGGGCTGTCTGAGCGGCGGATGATGCCCAGACGCTCCATGTTGACGAACTCCGCCTTGGCGACTGTCAGGGTTGATCCGGGCCGGGCCCTAGCGTAGACAGGGGGGCCTTCAGTGTCAATGTGGTGCTCTACCCCGTGTTTGGTAGTGGCAGCGGAAAAGGTGGGCTGCGTCAAGTCGGGAAACTCACTGAGAAGGTGCTGGAACTTGTTGAGCTGGAGAGCACGCTGAATGACGCCTCGTCGCGGGTACACGTGAACGAGGCAAACGTCAGCGCATCCACCAGGCGGCTGTTCTTGACGTCCACCAGCAGCCCGTGAGCGCATAGGAAGTCGAGGAGGGTGAAGGAGATTTCAGCCGTGACGAAATCCCACTTAAACCTCTGACCCTCGAAGAACAGGTCCACTGTCTTTGTGCCATAGGTGCGAATAGGGGTGTCGTTAGCGGACGTTAAAGGTGGGCCGTGGCCTCCACCGGCGGCGTCCTCCACGGTAGCCGGCAGGATGCTCCGCTGGGCTCCTGTGTCACAAAGGAGTCTGCGACCAGAGAGGGTGTCCCTGATGAACAGGAGCCGGTTGGAAGTGCCCACGCTCGCGGCCACTACCGAGCGCAGGCCTTGGCGTTTCCCCTGACCTTGTAGGTGCAGGGGGGACGGCACATCTTTGCTTTTGCCCCGTAGCATGCATGGTAATAACAAGAAACAGTTCTATGAACAAAAAATGAGGTTCTTCCGTACCTAGCAGGCAGAGCATCATTTCCACCATGTGGTCAGAAGGCTTGTTGTCCCCCAGGCTATGAATAGCGAGCAGGTGTCAGGCCCGTTCCGACCGTGACAGCTCGAAAGTCTTTAGCAGGAAAGCCTTGAACGCTGCATATTTATCCTGGGCAGGAGGAGACGTAATAAGCCCACCGTCCGAGTCGCAGTGGAGCTTCCCAGTGCCGAAACGACGGGAAAATAGCGCGCTGCGTCGTCAGTCACTCCGCGGAGGGCGAACTGAGCCTCCGCCTGAGCGAACCATGCAGCCGCAGATGTCTCCCAAAACTCCGGCAGTTTGAAAAAAACGGCGTTACTTGCCATGCTCGGTTCAGTCTCGGATCCTTCAACAAGACTTACGTCGGGGTCACCAATGTGGTGCCGAGAGATGGGAGTCGGAGGCGGGGTATCGAAGGTACAAGCTATACTTTTATTGAGCATCTGCAAAACATGTAAACCACACTTCAAGCCCGGGAAGTGAAGACCGGCGGAAACAGGAAGTCCGGCTCGCTCTAATGTCCGTGCAGAACAATACCCCAACACATAGATCCGTGGGTGAATAATGTCAATCACCACACCCCACAGTAAACTATATATGCTGCTTTATTGTCTATTTTACTCTAAATCCAACCAGGCTTTACAAAATGATCATCCTGCTTTATTGACGAAGACTTGAAACTAGGGATTGCAATGTTTACTGAGATAATAAATATTGAAAATTACATATTTTCTCATAGACTTCTAACTAGTAGTAGTTCTTTTTTGCAATTAGTATCTCTCGCTGCTGGCTACTACAGAGAATTACAAGAAGGTACTCTGCATTGGCTTTAATTTTAAGATGCCACTTGGAAAATAACTTGACTGGCCTGCACAGACACCTGACCTTGTTTACATCCATCAACTTGGGGAAGAACTAGCTACGTCTTAGTGTCCAACATCTTTGGCTGACATCACAATGTTGAAATCCCTTAAGCCATGTTCCAAAATCCCAGTTGAGTGGAGGATGGTATCGCCGTGTTTAACAATGACTTCTGGATGCTATGATCTTATGTCCACATGCTTTTGAACAGGCTCTGTATATCAGTATTTGCTGTATAGTGCATATAAGGTTAACCTTTTAATGACATGCCCAGTTAGCATTGTTGATTTTCTACATCTCCCAGAATTCCCCGCCTCAAGTGGATATTTCGGAGAGATCAACAGTTGAGCTCAGGATTTTAATTATTTTATCATTGCCCATGAAGGTACAGTAACTTTTCCCACTGTTATAGAGTTTTTGTGAGTGAGAAAGTTAGACAATTGGCTTCCTTTCAAATAATGAAAGCATGTTGAACCAGGTGTGTCATACAGTATAGGCTTCATTCTTTACTCAGCCCCCACAGCTCTCTTTAGTGTGTTGCACAGACACACACAAAAACACTTGGCCGTGAAGTCACTGCAGTTCGACTCAGCACACTCACTAATCCCAAAATGACGGTCATGTGACAGCTTTGTCAGAATTACTGCGGTACTGAGACAGAGTCTTGGCGGTAAGTACATCATTTTCTCACAACACATATAATTATAGTAATTCTTGCTGTTGTATTTGTGCCTGCAATGGAAGCAGTTATTGGCCAAATGCTCTCTTGGCTGTGTGATCCAGTATTTTGTAATAAATCTTCTGCTCAATAAATCAATAGGTTTCTTTGCAACACAGCATTCATGTTAGCTTGTTATAGCTGTTAATATAACACTAATCAGGTCGGCTTCAGGTTGATTAAATGGAAATAAAAGCATAGAGATTACATCTTCCATTCTGGGTACATGCTCGACATGGATATATACATTACAGCTAATTAGATTTTTGTTAAATTGTTATACGAAATGCAATATGAATATTAAAGGAGGAAGGAAGTAAAGACGTACTGTGTTTCAGATATATAGCTGATGCTCCTATCCAGGAAGATTTTGTCACAGAAGAATCAAATATGTCAGACTTACTATCAATGTCTTTATTAAACTAATATCTTGAAACTAAGCAGGGACAGGCCTCCACAATCCGATATTTTTTACTCTAGTTTCCAATCTCCATGATTTCTGCAAATGCAGAATTGCAACTGCAATACTGCAATTCAATACAAATCTGCATAGTCAATAATGTTGTGAGGTAAATATATTTTGTCCCATCTTATGTTTGTTTTTGACATATCCAAAATAGGTTCCTAACACCTTGAAATACCACCACCCACTAGACTGAAGTATGGCCAAATCCTTCAACATCTAACACTCCCATCCCTTTTATACCCTCCAAGTAAATTAGAGTGGACTGTACCACTATAAGGGGAGCTCAACCAAAAATAAAAAACATATATTGTCCACTTATTTATTTACAATTCATAGGGTTTTGTTCATAAATCAAAAAGACATTACAGTGCCAAACGTATGTAACCTCAAGCTTTAGAAAAAAAACCTTTAATCACAAACAGACATATGCCCTCCCGCCTCACACCTCCTCTATTCAGACATGGCCGAACCAGGAAGTATAAACAGATCCAAGATCCTGCTCGAATCCATTTGTCTAAGTACCAGAACAAGGATTAGCAACAAAGGTATATATTGCATTACTATCAAACATTGAGGGCAAACATTTGTGGTTGTAGACCAGTTGATCGATTGTTTCATACTTTGGCTAGTTCTGACTTCCCTGGCTGGAGAATGACAGACTCATGAATCCTTATCGATTACACAAACATTAATACACAAAGTTATGGAAGGATAATGAGACAATGGATCCGTTGGCAAAGACATGCAAAATGCCCCTCCACCGCTATAGGCCAATACTTTATAGTTGTTTTAGTCCTTTTGTCGCAATTTGTTTGTCTGTGTAGTTGCTTTGTAGTTGTTTTGTTTGTTTGTGGCCATTTTGAGTCTCTTCATGCTTTGTACTTGTCTCTTTGAGAAACATTTTGTTGTTGAAAGTCCAGGGGGGCTCTCGGCCTGGGCCTGGTAGGCCCATTCAGTAATCTGTGACACGACATGTAGTTCCAAAAAGTAGAGAAGAACCTCCACTGCCCTTTTTCGGCTATAAAACAATCATATTCTACAACTAGCAACAGTTGCTTAAATAGTCACTGATTATCTATTGGTATAGACAACAAAGCACAGTTGATGCTGGTGCAATATGTGCTTACTGAGTGATATCAAGTCATACTGAAGCTGGAATATGAGTAGTATTATGAAGGTGACTGTTTTGCCCACACACCTGATTGCTAGCTAAGGACATACTCAAGTTGTTTTACTATCATAACATTCATAATGCTAATTAGGTTGATTTTAGCATACACACATTATACAAAAACACAACTTCATATATTGGCATCTATACTAGGATAAAATGCATCCAGTCGTGCTGATTTTAATTCATGGTTTTTAAATTGTTAACATTTATTTCAGGATTGGTCAGTCTTGTTTCGCTCTTCTTTGGCAGTTGCCATAAGTTTATTATGAATTACATTTTGGAGGTTTGCTTGTACTGCAATAACATACCTCACCAAACAGTGACTTAATGAGGTGTCCATTCTGTTCAGTGAAAACTAGAAAGGTTGATCATTTTAACCCAGGGTATTTTCTGAAACAAATGAAAAACATACAACATCTTGAGTAAGTGTTTGTGAGGTGAGTCCCATGGCGACATGTATCCAAAAGCAAGCGAAGGTGAGCAGCAACTCAGGATTTAGCCTGTTGGTTCACTTTCCTGTGAAATTGGTTTCTCTTCTCTGCATGTTCTATATTTGAAATACCTTCTTGTTATTGTAAAAAAAATGGTTTTGCTATTCAGGACTTCATTGTGCAGATTTAAAGGACCATATAGGAAGTTCAACAACATATTTCACATCATGTCAGCTTTTTCTTTTAAAGCATTTGGCCCAAATGCTTTTTTCACCCCAAGCAGCCATTACTTTTGATTGATTTAAGCTGGTATGAAAATCAACTTGCATAGACTTGAAGCACACTTGAGAATATGGTATATATATTCGTCTATAAATAAGTCATCTTTCACAGTAAGTGTATGCTTTTCTCGTTCATTTGAAAGTCTGCACTGTATCTCACACCAGTTCAGGTCCATTGTCATACCAGATGAAATGTCTTTGTTTTTGTGGTACAGCAGCTGCCTTTACACTGAGAGATACAAGTCACCCTCATTATAAGAGATAGAGGCCGGTCCTGCCTTAATAGACCCCTGCTGCTGTTGTTTGATTACAGAGACAGTATTGTTAAAATATAAAGACTAGGTAGCGCTTCTGAATAAACTACAGGTTGGGATCTAAACAGGGACCTGGTGTGTTTATGGATGCAGCAGCTGTAGTGCATATTTCAGGATCACATGCTGCTGCAGGGTGCTGGCAGCAGAAAACTAACAGAAGCTGAGCAGCATTGAAGTCAAAGCTCAGGGAAGGCCTTGGTTTAGTGGTGCTTGTTTTGTTGATTAGGGTAGGAACATGGTTGCAGACACTATTCAGATGTCAGCAGCAGAAGTGTAATGGCTTCAAATAAAAGTTTCTGTAATTTTATGTTCGGTGGTGTTTGCAAAATTGGGACTTTGAAGACATTGATGAAATATGTAATGGGGGGCTGTCACCCAAATAAAGACATCTTCAATTTTTGAAAAGGAGGATGGGCCTTATGCAGTCAAGAGTTCTCTCATGCATACTACAGTGTAAATGCAATGGCTGTAATAAGTGCAAATGTTTGCTATTGGGCCCCCATTGACTAACACCTAAAATGGAAGCTTCAGATTATGTTACTTTGCTGTAATTTGACTTATTAAAACTACTTTATTAAGGAATGTGCACCACATAAGCCCTATGAAAATCATAATAATAACAGTTTTGATAAAATGGCACAAGACAAAAGTAAATGCCACAACATAAAGTAATGCAGATCTGGCCTTGTTGATATAGGCCTAGTGGTGCATTTGGGCTAGAATGTGTGGAACTGCATCCAACAATTATTTCCATTGATGATTTATCTGCTGAGTATTTGATTAATTGATTAAATACCTGAAACCATGAAAAAGGCTCAACTAAAAAGCAGAACATCTTTTATTTTTCCCTTCTTTGTTTATGTATCTAACCTGTTGTACCTGTGTTGTTATTAAGCTCTGTGAGAAAGAGCTGAACTTGAAAGAAAAACGCACGTGATAATACCACAAGTTATAATTGTGTGTATGTGTCATTTTGAGAGAATGAATCCTGAATAAAACACTGCCCAACTCATTACAACATTGTATTGTATTCTATTATTTTCTTTCACAGTCTCTCTAATTCCCAAGAAGAGGGGATTTCCTTACCAGAGAAACCCTAGTTCAAATATTTAACTGCTATAAAACGGCCTATTGAACTTTGTCCTCCAGGTTCAGGCGCGTTCACAGTGGTCTTATTTATAACCGGAAACGAGTATTATTGGTCACCTTTACGACAGTATACACACTTTGTTTTCGCTACCAATCACTATGAGCCTTGAGTGTGCTTTGTCCTCTCGTCAAACATTTTGAAATCATAGCGATAGTTGCAATTACAGCCCGTGCGCATGCCCGCTCTGAGTAAACGCGGGCGCGCCCAAAGAAAGAATTTGAGTCCGCGCACGCTGCTGGTATACTGTTGTGACTTGTTATGAACGGTGGTAAAATATTATAGCAATATTAAAATCCTGATTTCACACGAAAAGCACCCGAATTACATGAAACACATTAATTTTTTTACAGGTAGCCATATTATAGATTTAAGAAATTTATTTTATACAAAAAGTAAGTAATATATTTAATTTGACATTCTGTTCTTATATTATTTACGTGTATATAGACTTCTTGCACTATCTTTTGTTTGTACTTTTGTATTTTATTATAAAACGTTGCAAAAAAAAACGCATTGTTGGGAGGAGCTCGGGTCATAAGATTTTCATTGCCATTTCTACACTGTAGCTTTTGTGCATGTAACATTAAAACCTTTGAATCTTGAATCTAATATGCATATGAACATAAAGCCACTTTTTATATAGACAACAGGACAAAATAATATATTATTATAATGCAAGGCTAAGACACCATGCAGGTAACATTTTTAGAGCCATGGGATTACTTTTTCAACCAACTCGCTTTTACGTTTTGAAGAGTATCTCTTGTGAAAGCCATATCAATAGGAGCTCAAATACTTTATTTTATGGGGAATTCTTAAATTATAGTCATAGGAGACATTCTCCAACAAGGTGCATAAATTCACTATGAGTATTAAACAAAACTTTAAGATTAGGTTACATTTATCTCTGGAATATTATAGAGGAACGAAAAGCCACCAAAGTCAAGGCACTGTGCTGCAATATTTATAGGAATATTATAGTCACTGAAAGAAAGAAATTAGGCATAAACTCAAGATTTCACTGACATGATGCAAGTCGAGATTGAAAATTTAAAATATTATAAAAATACTTGAGGAAGATTGTCCCCCTCAAGGTAAACACTCACTTGTTAGTGTTGCAGTGAAAGGTCATGAGAGGTTATTTACGAAACTGTTGCTCGAGTTTATAGGTATTTTTGTATTGTGTTATGGTAAAGTATAGAGCTACAACCACTGATTAATGTTTCCAAAAAAGATACCTTCAAATATTTATTTGTGTAAAAAATTTAAAAGTTCATTTGTAGCACTGTCTAAATCAGTATTCTTCAGATGCCAGAAAGACTGTATTATTAGAAGCCTGTCTAACATATTATGGTTTATTCAAGTGTTTCCTATATCCTCTCTTTATAGATCATGAACACTATCAGTTAAAGCACACACTCATTACTGCCATTTGTGCTGTGGGCTAATATCAGTCTGCTGGTGAGTAATATAGATATGGAGATTTCTGCAGGTGTCAAAAAACGAGATATGGTATTGATGCAATTCATTTTGTTTGAATTGTAGGCCAACCAACGTGCGCGAGATTGTCACCAAATCGCCCATGCAGATTTCTTCTGGCCAATTTCAAGCATTTTGACAGGGGTTTGTTTCAGAGTTTTGCATTTGTGCAGCTTAAATATAAATGTTTTCAACACACATGTGGCCTAGTTCAACCTCTGATTGGTGTGCAATATGGTAAGAGTTATTACAGTGTGATGAGAGCGTATAGATCATGCACAAATGTAAAGAAATTGTAAAAAAGTAGATTATAAAATAAAAATCGCCTTCGATTTAAGATTATTCACCGAGCAATGTTCCTACTGATTTAATACTCACCAAATACCAATATAAAACAATGGCTTAATGGACAAGGATCCCATTTATTCCTTGACGTAGATTGGGGTCTGATAGTCTGCAAGATGTAGTGGAATTATTTCTCTCCACAGAACAAATATAGGCCTAATGAAAAGTGCAAGAAAGTTTAAAATTAAACTCAAGCAAAATAAAATATACTAAGTCCCACAAATCCTTTATCTTATGAAATAATGCCTTTAGTGGATCAAAACAAGTTATTAATTTCGCTCCTCTTTGAAAAACAACTGGCCCACTGCGGTTTTTCTCCCCTGAAACATGGGCTACTTGAAATAAACTTCTCTTTTCCTGGAGTTTATTCAAACAAACATGTTAACATAAGCACATGGGGACTTTGAATCACCTTTTGTATACACTTTAGGCTAATGAACTTAGCTCTGCAAACACTTACATTATCGTACAAAATACGTTGCATTCAAGTTTAAACATGCGGAGTTTTCTATTCAACAAACAACATGTAAAAACATTTCAAAGTAAAATCACTAAACGGGAGGCGTCATGGAGTCAAACGGGCCGGTGGGAGTCTGCAAACGGTTAATAGAAAGCACACAGAAGCGGTATAATATATGTACAATATAGGCTACCTTTCTCTAATTGAGTCTGGATTCATGATATGCACGAAACTTTATATATATTTTTCTTGCAAAACCTTATGTAAATCGAGACCCCGCAAGCTGTTCTGAAAAGCAAGCAAGCACAAAAAAAGAAAAAAAAAATCCCATCGTCTGTTTTATACGTTAGACCTGTATATATTTACACTTTTTTATATGTACAATGCAGCAATGTAACAAGTCTTCATCATTTTTTAAATCCCCAAAAATGGACCTTTCAATTGCTGTTCAAGTCCATCGGTAAACACATTTAACCCGCATAATCCTTTTTCTCTCCTTTTTTTTTTTTGAATCTGTCTGCAACTAATCCAGTTTAGTTGTATTTGACCCCCCCCCCCCCCATCCGCAGGTATAGCCTGAAAGCTTTGACACCGTGTCCGTTCAACACATATATATTTATTTATAGTTGTAGATAGGATTTAGGCTTGTTTGCCCGTCAGCTGTTGTATTGACAGGCGTTCAGGCTGGATCCGGGACTCTGCAGGCTGCTGTATCCAAAAGTTGGATGCTGTTTGGATTTTAGTCTGAGGGTGGCCAGGCTGGAGTTACAAGTGTCCCGGTAAACGCTGTACGGAGAGCCGGGGGGCCCGTATGGACATGCGGACGACGACATGGCCGAGTTGATCCCGGATGTACCGATCCCGTTCAGGTTGCTGATGTTGTTGAGGCCCGGGGTGGGCATTCCCGTCACGGCGGAGTGACTCATCCCGGACGCCATAGTCATGGAGGAGATGGAGTTAGGAGCGGAGAACATGGACTGCGAGGTGAGGGGGCTCATGGAGTTGAAGAAGGTGAAGTTCTTGGTGGATAAAGGCGCCGGAGTGAGGCCCTTGTTGGTCCAGTTGTTGTAGGTGTAGGCCGGGTACATGTCTTCGTAGGGCTGCATGAGGCCGCTGAACTGCGGCAGGTAGCTGTTCTTGCACAGGTCCATCTGCTGGTTGCGCTCCCGCTTCCTCCACTTAGCCCGGCGGTTCTTGAACCACACCTGGAGGAGAGACACAGTGAGAACATTAATAAGCAAAGTAACCTGAGAAGTGGACCCAGAACAGACACATTTGTCTTTAGGTTGCATGTGTTTAGGCAAAAAACCAAACAAGTATTATTGCAAATGATGTGACAGTATCTTATAGGCCTAATTAAATCCAACTTCAAATAATTATAATGACCCTTCCATTCTAATGCTTGTAGTTAATATTGCTTATTTTTTTCTATGCCGCTATATGGAAACACACACACACACACACACACACACACACACACACACACACACACACACACACACACACACACACACACACACACACACACACACACACACACACACACACACACACACACACCGAACACACACTACACATTTCAAGTGTTATTTAAAACAATAAAAACAAAAACTCTATGTAATACATTATTTAAATATTGCTCTAATTAAATTGCACATTGTAATATATGTAACGTAAAGGCACACCACACATATTTCTTTTTTTATTTGAAGCTGCGATCCCACATTAACATTTCCTTTATACAAGGACATCTGTTTAATGTCTAGAATGTGTTTACAGCAGTGTGTGTTTACAAATCATGGCCCAGATTGTACTTTCAGCTTTGATCATGCAGAGGCTTAATTGCCGAATGCAAAGTTAGCAGTTAGGCTCTATAAAGGCAAAAGTTATTTAAATCAGTGTGTGCCTTTTTTAAATATGGAAAATAACAACTTGCCCATGTGAAATTAATCCTCACTTTTTAAAAGTTCAACCCTGAACTTTGTATTAGATGGATTGAGCATTTAAAAACAATTAGGATCAGAAACAGGTGTATTGCCAACGCCAAGTAAAACAAACGAGGAATTTGTCTTGGTGTTTTCGTTGCATACATAAACATAGGCTATGAGACACTGATTGAAAACCATTTTAAGAAAACTATAATAACGTTCAAATATAGCAATATTTACATTAAATATGGTAGAAATGTATACCTGTAAAAATACAAGAATAAAATATGTGCAGTTACAATGTGACTAAGAGCTGTTATTTCCCCCCAGCACACCAAACATTTACATATTAAAATATGTTTTCTTCAACGCAACCTACATTTAAATTACAAGCGCAGCTGCTGCAGCTCTCATGTCAATAGGCTACTTTGAAGGCAAGAGCGTCACATTCATCCAGTAAAATGTTCCTTTAAATTTGCTTAAGAAGGAGTGACTAACGGCAGAGGTGGAAATGCAGCCTAAATGATAAAAACTGTTGTTTTTTGCTTGCATATGTTTAGAATTGTTATTTTCAAAGCCACGTTTATTTTGCTTAAGTTATTTACAAATAGCCGGCTAAAATAGCTTTTATGATTGTAGTACAATCATTGTACAAACGCAAATTACCAGTTTTTTACCCAATTTCGTATAGCATATAATTTTTTTTAGATTAAATTAAAATCTGCAAATACTGTACTCCAAATCTGTCATGACAGATTTAAGAATTGTTAACAAAATGTAGATGAAAAGGCTACATTAATATGTTATTCACATAAAACTATATAGCCAACAAAATAGTCGTGTTCTGACCTGAGGCTAGCCAAATATGTGTTATAATACTTATAATAAGTCATATCAGTTTATTTTTGTTGGTGCCTAATATTATTAAATATCTAACGATGAAATGAATTACTGTGTTCATGCGGGTAGAACAAAGGTCTACGTTTGTGTAGACTAAATCAGTATGGGCAGACACTCCAAAATAAAACCAAGTTTACAGCATGAATAAAAAGCGCAGGGGGTGAGTGTGCATGAATCAGAAACGTGCCTCTGGGTATTGTCACGCCTTATCGAATCCTGACAAAGTATCCATAAGTCGGCACTCTCTGAGTCATTATTTTATTCATAATAGAAACAGTTTACAATTGGTATCATCAGACGGGCCTGCACAATGTATTTATAGTCGAGCAGGGAACAGTGCTGCGGACAAATTGTCCACAAAGACGTGAGCGATGTGACACAGAGCTGCGGAGGAAACACGCAGACTCCACAGCCCGCACCGAGCAAAAAAGAAAAAAATATGCAAAACTAAATGTGGGTTTAAATTAGCATGTTAACAAGAAATAAACCCTCATTATGTAAATTCAAAATTGCTGGGCCCACACGTATCAATCAAGCTCAATATATAATCTGTCAAGCTTGATTGAACACTGATGACCTTAAAAGGTCAAGTCCAAACACTTTAAAATGTCAAAACATTTTAATAAATGCTCAGATATGAACCAGACATGTTCAGGCTGCGAGTTGTCACGCCATGTGCCTCACAATGTTTTCTTTTTATTCAGTCAAAATAAAAGACTGACTGTTTGACATTCGCCTTCTTTGGCTCCAGGAGTGAAAAACCAGCACTCTAAACTTGTTCAGATACTTTTTTCTTTTAAACTTCCCCCTGCACTTTAAATAGCTGTAGCCTATGCATTTTTTAAATGCAATGTGAGACGGAGGGGTTTTGAAGGACAGGCCTTCAGGCGCCAGTTGCAGAAAATTAAAACCAACTGAATTGTGTTTAACGAACGTTTCTGTCTGAGGAAAGAGCAGCCTGCAGGAATACCCGCATCGAGTAAAAAGCATGCTATTTTTGTACTTCTGTATTATAATAAATACATAATTTATGATCAAGTTGGTTATGATTGCATGTCAAAAATTGTCCTTGATTAAATATAATCACACGCGGTTTCAATTCATTGCACACAGCTCCAGGTAGATTTAGCTGTATGCACTCCAGTCCACGGGGACATATAAGGGTCCAAGCTGTGATGATATCATCAAAAGACAAATCCTCCATTGGTTCCATTAGCAGCGCGGATACACCCTCAAAAAGAGATGTCAATTCCAACAGATCCCAACAGTTTGAGACCGCTAAGATTTCTGCACATTTTCCACGTTAAATGCTTCGACGTAAACTGCCTGTGTAAGAAACGTGCTGAACAACAAGTGTTGAAATAATTGTATCTTTTAATAATGTAAGTTTTACTTTTTGGATGCACCGAAGCATGCAAGGGCAGACTTTTTCTTCAGGTCTCTGAATTGTGTCACTGCTGTATTTTACTTGAACTCCGTTAAAAGGCTAGATTTTCATTATTTAATCTTTAAGCAACATAAAAATAACTTCAATACCACACACAATATTATAATTAAGTCTGTTGACATATTTGATGTAAATTGTTCTGCAGTGTCTTTTTGAAAAAAATAGTTCGACTTAGTAAAACAATTATGGTGCATTTCGCCCCAAAATGTTAGTTTGAACACTAAATATTTGTATGAATTCAGTGCATTAACAGCGTACCTCTGTTATGAAGCCATTATTGGAAGTTGATATATTTCTAGGTATAGTTTTGTTTATATTATGCTAACATTTTTTGCTTTAATTTTCTTAATTCCGTTATTTCATTAGTTGATATGTGTTGGAGTTATTTCATTTATTTATGTAATTGGTCGAGAATTCTCTAATCATTTTTGTCTCCATTGTAGATCAGCTCTTAAAAGCATTAACGTTAGGAGGGAATTGTATCTGTTTTTGGCTTTTACTCATAACTGTACAAGCTTAAAGTAAAGTATGGTGGAGGCTGTGGCAGAAACATTCTAAGAAATGTCCAAGAAAAGTGTTTTGCTCCAGATAAAAAACGAGAATCCACATTTAAATTATGGATTAAGGTAAAAAAAATATTGCACAGGAGAGAGCATATTGGGGCAGGGGAGAAGTTGCAATGTATTTCTCAAATCTTCTTTACGCATTACGCGCGGCGGTCGGCCCGGTCTCTTACCCGGACTCTGGCCTCGGTCAGGTTGGTCCACACAGCGATTTCCTCCCTGGTGCTCATGTCTGGGTAGCGGTTCCTCTGGAAAGTGGCTTCCAGCTCCTGCAGCTGCTGGCTGGTGAAGTGAGTCCGCTGCCGCCGCTGCTTCTTCTTCTTCGGATCATCCGCGTTCCCGTCATCGCTCCTTTGTTCAGCGCTTCTCTCCTTTTCTGTAGATCACAAATGAGGAGAGTTAGTGTATGCTGCAGCTATAGAACATTTTGCATTTAGAAACTTGGATTCTTCACGTTTTAAAGCTAAACATTTCAGACCTTATAGTGCAGCAACGTGCAAAAAACACACAACTTTGTATTATTAATGACAGAAAACGCCTGTCAGCATGAAATAAGCAAAACTAAACCCATAAATCAATTATTTACAAAATGTTCATGTAAACAACCACGAGTGACAGATTAAAACCAAATATTTACAAACATGTCTGACAGTTTTGTATCGATTCTTTCAAACACATTTAGGTCTGCCTCGCTTAGATCAATAGCCTATACTTTCTTTACGACGAGGTCTTATCTCCCGACTGCTATCTTGTATTCGTGTTCTAACAAGAGTGCCTCATTAAACTGAAGGGTCAACACGTGCAAAGGTGGATCACAAAATATAGTATTTTGAATTATTGCCCTGAAAAAAAGCAACTTTAAAACGTAAAGCCATACCATCCTTATCCATGTAAGTCCCATAACTAACAACGAAAGAAAGAAAGAATAAATATTCAGCCATTTATGCTATTTTTTTGAACATGTTAACTGAGACAGAGAAGACATTTTCTTTTAAAAAAGCCGGCCAAGTTGAAGAACTTCTCTGAGGATTGTTAATACAGACCTTCTGGCTTTCAGTTTAGATTGGTGGATGGGCTCAATATTTATAGTTTGTTTTAATGCATTTACTGACAGCAGGCCAGGCTGTTCTGCACATTTTTGCCTGACAGACCTCGGGATCCTGCCAAGTGTCTACTTCAGCCAGCGCAATAAACAACAAAAGGGGTGTAACTGCACCAAAACGGGACCATCCAGTTCTGTTATATTTATGTACATTAAACTTCAGAGCATACATAAACAAACCTTTACTTTACTGAACTGTTTAAATGTATTGAACAGTGTGTATGCTGCATCGTAAAACACGGAGATAAATCGTCCCAGCTGTTAGAATAAGCAAACACAAGTTAACTAATATTGTCTCCTTGTTCCGTAACTGCCGAGAGGCCTGCCCGAGCTTGTGGAGACGTAAAATAAACTGTTATTGCACTCAGAAGAAGGAAGCGAGTTGCTAAAAGCACTCTGACGGTGTACCTGGCAACTCTGTGTCTGAAGACTCGCTGCTTGAGTTCTCTAAAGTTTCTCGACTGCTGTTGGAAGTTCTCGGTAAATGAAACGCGGGGGCCACGTCGCGGGCCGGCGGGGCTCTCACTGCCTCTGCGATTCTGTCCAAATTCATCCCACCTTGAAGAGAAGGATGCGTACAAAAGAGGAAACTGGGTGAATCCTTGGGAGTGCACAACGTTTTTTCCTCAACAGCTTAAAAATTCCACCACGACATGAGGGGACGAATCAGACAAAGCGAATCTCCAACGATAGTGTTGTTTTTCCAAGATGAAAAGACTTAGAAATAGAAAATACGAAGCCCCTTGTCCCTCAACAACAGTGAGTGCTCAGTGCAGGGAAAAGCTTCTGCCGCTGTGACCGAGAGCGCGCTCCGGCTCTCCACCCCTCTGCTGGGTTTAACCTCCCCAAAATCAGCGAGTCACACCCACTGCCCGCTGCAAGAAAACATCCACCCTAATAACTCTGACGTCAACCTAAAACAAGTGAGAAAAGTGCCATCATTTACTAGACGTTTGGGTTTATCGCATGCAAATATAAACACTGTTTATGTATGTGTTAGTGCAGGAACATCGTAATCCATACTTAAAATGGCAATTTATTTCAGTGTTTCCAATTTTATTACAATTACGGTTCGGTATTAGACTGCAAGGCACAAATCTTTTGCAGCGGTTTTTTTTTTCTTCCCAGTTCTCGGGCGCGCGCAATGAAACGCTTTTCTCTTTAGGAGTAAAATAGGCCTTTTATTCGTGCAGGTATATTTGATTTTGCCCCCAGTGCAGCCGGTGCGCTTATACACACAAGCACCCACACAATGTATATCTCGGATATGTACTGAGCTGTATAAACATTTGCCATCCAACACGGGCCTGCCCAGTTACTGTTTCCTCAGTATGAAAATTGCACGGTGATATGAGGATTATTGTGTGAATGAATATAATGGCCCTCACTGTAAACTGACCATTGTCGCTCTATCAGCAGATTGTTTCACTTTGACAAATAAACAACCAGGACTATAAAGGCCAGGCAGGTCAGAGCTCTCATGACTTCACACGCTGTGGGACTTTACTGTTATTTAATTAGCAGGACAAACACCAGGCTGCAATCATCTGTTGATAGCAGCAGATACGTTAGCTCTGCACGTTCCCCTAAACACAAAGATAATCCAACATGAATAAAACATGTTTTTTCTAAACTTCGACACCACGTTTGACAACACTTCTGGAGCCCAATCTCTCAGCACAACATCCTTTTATGATTGACGGTCCTCCATAATACATTTTGATTACAATTAGCAATAATGTCTCTGCTGATTCTGACACATGTGCATATTTGCAGTGTGGTTAGACAAATGGCTGGCCGGACTATCTGTTTTTCTCTTTAAGAGAAACTTTTAAAGCACCTTTGGAATACAGACAAAATCACGTGCTGCTACTTTAGCCTTATTTTTGAAGAGGCTAAAAGTAGATCAGAAAGTCAAACATCTGATTTGAATTTCTGATGTCATTTCAGGGTGTTTTCTGGTCTGATCTTTCATCCCTCGCACGCTTGCACAGTGCGCGCATTGACTCGCAGCGCAGTTAAAGTGAACTGTAACCCTCTGAACATTCATGTCTGTGGAGAACTAGAGCTTCCTCCAGATGTTGACTTGCTATTCCAAGTGTGTGCTGCACTGGAGTGAGACATGGGTTTAATACAGCAGCTGCAGTTGAAATGAGACGATTTATTTTTTACAAAACCCTTTCTTTGTTGGAAAAGGCAGCACAAAACAAGGAAGGCCAAGCATCCTTATTTCAATTAGTTTGGAGTCAGGGTGGCACCAGATGAGGCACCATTGTTTGTTTATTGTTTAAGTAAATGTAGTGCATCTTGGGAAGTCAGGGATTGATTTGTTGTTGTTGTTTTTGATTGTATTGTATCTGTATTCTGCCTTTGACCCCATCCCTTTTTAGTATAATTGCACATAGCCTATACGGATTTACAGCAACGTTGCAGGTTTGAATATCTGTATTAGACCTAAAATCATATTTCTTACAATCAAAATAAGGCAACATTTACCAATGAAGTCAGAAACGTGATATCTATGTTTGTCTTCAATTGGCTACTTTTTTGCTAAATAATAAACGAGACAAATTATCCAAACAGAGCAGCACAATGTAACTTTTGATGAAAATCACCTCAAAGTGACTAACCATGAAAAGGCAGATGTTGTTGTGCCTCTGCGCAAATAGGCCCGCACAGAAAACCAAGTGCAAATCACAAAATTACATCAATTTGCACATTTCTTTTGACTGCACATGCCAAGCTTGCAGTCTTCTGCAATGTGAAAGCGGCTGACCTTTTGACGTGGCTCGGCTTGTAACCTACATGTTTCGGCTAAATGCTCACCGGCCTCACCGTCTGGTGGAGCGACTGTCACCGGCGCCAGTCTCGAGCATTTGGGGGCTTTGCATGAAAGTGACTTCTGACATGAGATCCCCGTCCGACCGGAAAACTCCCCCGAAGGCCCTTTTGAAAGACAATTGTGAAAGGGCTCAACATTCACCCTTTCCATCATTTGTTCAGCCTCTCTGCCCAAAGCATGTTGACAAATGGGGCTCACCTTATATATTTCTACGCAGACTGCTACATTCATTAATTTTAATTAAGACATCTGAATATCTTCTAGCTATCATATCCAACCTATGTCATTATTTGATTATTCGGCCTGGTGTGTGCTGTTAAAAGTTCGACCCTCACATTGTAAGCTGAAGTGCCCTTGAGCAGAAAACCACTTCCAATAGATGCTTATTCACTTTCTAAGTGCGTAAAACGGTTACAAAGAGAGCGGAAATGGAATATGAGTCGTGGTTGAACCGTGCATTTGGTAAAATATGATTATATTGCGTTTATAATCGCCTATTGCTCACTATGATTAGTATGGCAAAAGTGCAGCTTAAAGCTAAAGAACTGAAGTCGTTCTACAATAACTTTAGGAAAGAACCGTTGAAATACTGAACAGTCATGTATGCCTGTTACGGGAACATATCAGATATTGTTCATAAAAATCCCCTTTCTAAGAGTATATCAATATTGGTGCACTAGTGGAATACAACTCATAATAAACCCACTGACCCTTGAAGTACCCGTAGAAAATTAAAGGATTTACAGCACATGGTATTTTCTATGGAGGAGCTCCTGATTGTACCCTCTCCTGCTGCAGGAGCAGATATTACAGGCTGATAGATGGGAGTAATCTAAATACCCAGTCTGCATCCCTGCCCACGTCCTGCACTTGCGTGTGATGGATGAGTTAAAAAGCCTTTCCATCCGTCAGGACAGGTTAAAGGGCAGTCGAAATGCAAACACTCATATTTTTCGTCCAAGAAGTGCAAATAAACTCCGGGGGCCAACGTTAATCACACATCAAATACAATCAAATACATCGGTCTACAGTAGCCTATGTGTGTTTATCTTAAGTGTGAGGCAACCAATATAAGTATACAGCTAGAACCGCGGGGGTAAAAAACAAAGCATATAGAAAATTATAGCTGGCGAGCAGGACAGCAGTGGAGATGTAACTGGACACGGTCTGTAACTGGAGAAGGACAGAGCTGATTATTTCCTTGGTGATGGTTTCCCTGCATGGTCCAAGGCCCGTTTGACCTGAAGCCTGACAACCACCAAGCAACCTGACAAAAGTTATGCAGGTGTAAATAAAACCATAAACTGTAATGGCCATAACCGGGAATAGAACAAAAAGAAAAACCGCTGGGGCTTCATAAGCAAGTTGAATGCATGTAGCCTGATTGTTTATTGGATGTACTCAGCCCAGTTGATATTGACTATGCTTTTATAGAAAAAGAAAACGGTTGAAATCCATGTGGAATTAGTCCTAAAAAACGACAAAGTTGTCCCACACTAAAAGGATATTCTTGATATTAATTTACCCCCCAAAAAACATAAAACGCACTTGTTTATTAGCTAAATATGTTCCACTGTAACTGAAGTCAATTTAGTCTGCAACAATATAAACATACTCAGCACGCCAAACCTCTTTTAGCCAGTCTTGTCTTTATAATAATTGTTTCCAATATGTGTTGTGCTAGTTAGATGTGACCTTTTAAAGCTGCTGTATTATTCAATTAATATTTTCTTAAGGAAACGTAAACATGTAAAAATATTGTACACAACTAATATCCGCTTCACGTGTATGTCTGTCATTTAATACCTTTTAAAACCACGGATATTTTCCAAAGTTGTCAAGTCTTGCACAATCTTTCTTTTTTGTTTGGTGTGTGATTAAATCCAGATTTATAGAAACTCTCGTTTTTAATTTAACAAGTTAATTGAAATAATAAAATAACGCCACAGACTTTTTTAAGCTCTTTGTTGCTTGCTGTATATCTGGTTTGATTTGTTGATTTATTTCATTTGGGGGGGTTTTAAAGGCAAAACGACTCACCAGGAAATGGTCAGGAAATCCGAAATCAGACAAAAGAAAGTAGCAGATTATATTATAAGATTCCTTAACTTATGTTATTTTGTTTAAAATGTTGTTTTAAAGTTTGGTTTAGTTGGATTTACGCACGCTTCAATTTGCCTCTCATTATTTGATATGTACTGGTATGGTAATGTCGTAAATACCTTGCGGAAATAATTGACCACATATCAGACAAATTGCATCTAAAAGCAGATGCCTGGGAACACGCACAGCTTGTGTGCAGCGAGATTTTCCAATAACAAGTTCTGACCTTACGCCAAAAACCCAAAAGGTACATAGCATCATTTTATTTCACAGGATTTCTAGTTTTATGACTCAAATAAGGCAGTATAATCATTAAACAGTTGTGAAGAGAACAAGTCATACCTGCGTCCGCACAAGAAATAACATTTTTCGACTGATTCAGTTCCATTCCAATTTCCTGAAAAACAGAAGAACAAGGAGGCATCAGGAGAACAATTAACATAACACTCAAAAATATCAGTCAAGATTGATTTTCTTCTTTTTATCCACATAAAATAAGTATTATAAAAATAGTAAAGACAACTTTGCTAACTAACAACCAATAATAAAAAAATATTTACAAAGTAATACAACGTCTCTTAAACCTTCCTTTTAATGCCAATTTTCTAAAAGTTATACGTTTCATTATTGTATTTGGACTTTTCCAAAGTATTGTAAGGCAGCCTTACAATGGAAGAATAAATGCTGCTATGCAAACTCAGATTTAAAATCTCTATTTTATCGAGTTAAAATTAATTATTTTCACTCAGAACGTCATGGGCTCTCTGTAATAACAATCCTAACTCACCATCAGCGTTTACCTTTGACACACACACACACACACACACACACACACAC